AAATTAAAACTTTATTACTTTAGTACATTTTTAGTATTGGTTTCTCTCGGATCGTAGCCAGCTATTCTGTTGTATATAAATGTCGAACTGGCTGATACGAATATTGTATTTTGTCATCTATATATATATATATATATAGTACAATCTGCAGACATGCATGTTTCGGCGTTCTACGCCTCGTCAGTGCAGATTGGTTCAGTGCAGCTTGGTATATATATATATATATATATATATATATATATATATATATATATATATATATATATATATATATATATATATATATATATATATATATATATATATATATATATATAACCAGAATATGCAATACGGCACACAGATCTGTAAACAGTAAGTTGTAACAAAGGTTGTTGTCAAACCTATAACACTGTATATATTCGCACTGCTTGGTTAGTTCTTATTAACCGGCTGTGGTTGAGTCCCAGTTGTTGTGACACTAAGCATGGAACAAGTTGCTGTCACCTTGTCACAAGGTTCATGCAAGTTGTTCTGTATTAGCCTATGTACACGCACATTATTTACTATAAGGGGCTGATTACATGGAGAGTGTTCAGCCCGGGCTGAGTTTCAGCCCGGTTTCCCGGGCTGAAATTTCAGCCCGGCCTAAGGATAAAATCCTAGTAAAACACAGCAAGCGATTACATGACCAAAATTCCAGCCCGGACTACTATAAGGGGCTGATTACATGGAGAGTGTTCAGCCCGGGCTGAGTTTCAGCCCGGAAATTTCAGCCCGGCCTAAGGGATAAAATCCTAGTAAAACACAGCAAGCGATTACATGACCAAAACAACCGTTTAAATGGCTTTATTTTGCGTGTTTGTTTAATTTTTAAATACTTTACATATCACCACAGTCTCACACAAGTCAAATACTGGACTAATCAGTGTCTGATTGCTTCAAAGAAGCGTAACACGCTTATTGACCTATTTCGTGACACTCAGATTATTTCAGCCCGGGCTGACATTTCAGCCCGGGTTGATGATAAATATAGCTCTGACTAAACTCAGCCCGGGTTGAAACTGCTCATGTAATCGTGATGAAATTTCAGCTCGTTTAACCGGGCTGAAACTCAGCCCGGGCTGAAAACTCTCCATGTAATCAGGCCCAACATGAAACATGGGGAGAGTCTAGTACGCTAGCTAGACACTTCCCTTGATGAATAAAATTGTCCGGCATTAGGCAAGATAACATTTAATAACAAAGTGCTGAATATTGGGCTCATTGGAGTGATGGGTAATTCCAAAAACAATCAAACCCTTGCCGGGGTGTCTCTAAAATATATAAAATGTAGCCCAAAGGTTGTTACATATATTATTAAGCAGAAAATGTGGTGTATTAACTAAATGTATTCATAAGTTTGAACAAGCAAACTAAGGACTTTAACTGTTTTCAGTTAGGGACACATCTATAATCAAGTTGCCACATATGACAACAACACATCAAATTGATATTTTTATCTATCCTAAACTCACCCACCTATATATGAATAAATATTGGAAACTTATGAAAGTACCAGTTAATTTGAAACCAGTCGATAAATTTTCTCAAACCATGTTTAGCTGGGACATGTTTGGGTAGGCATATGAGAATTGAGTAGATGCCATCATGTCAAGCTATATTATTTTATACAACAAACACTGGAATCTGGCAATCTGTCATATACACTATAGTATACACAAAGATCAAAGTATACTATTTGGCATTACAATAAACATCATTTATAAATATAAAGGCTGAGTCAAATGTAAGCCTTCTATAAAACTAATGTTGTTTTAATTCAAATATTGTCGCAGCAAATTGAAATTTTAAGCCGGAACATGTGCTCAAAATTCACGAATGAAGATAGTAACTATTTCCTTTCAAAATTGCTCTATTTATATATAAAACATAACAAAATTCTTACCTGGATGTTTCCCAGTCATCCCGGATCTTTTATCTTTACAATAAATAACAGTTTCGCTCAATAAAAGCTCTGTATTTGAGCCATTTCGAGCGGAAAGTTTAAAACAAAAAAATTTTAAAATATGGCGTTGTGACACAGTTTAATCATATTCAGTTGTGTAGTAACTCGCGGCGTCAGTATTGATTATGACCACTGAGCTATACTATATTACTGGAGGACGTGCTCGGGATAAAAAAGTGAAGCCAAAAACATGGCGGATTTTCACGCCATTTCCATGGCAACTGGTTCCTTTTGGCCATGAAAATACCACTGACCAGGCTCATTTCTGAGCCCACTACAGTTTTCACACCCCCCTGGTTTTTTCCAAAATATTCAAAGGTTTTTCGAGTTTTTGCAGTGAATTCTCGTTGTTTTTGATATTTTTACATATTTTTCGACCTGCGACCATCTATTCAAAGAAGTACAAGTCGTAAACGTCCGGGAAAGACAACAAACGCCTTGCAAAATGTTGACAAAGACGATATTTGAAGCAAGAGGCGCAGCTATTACATTACAGCCAGGTAAAATTAATACTATTGAAAAACAATATAATATGCATTTATTTTTTAGCATGAGAAGCTTTGCACAATATAGTGAATATTTTAGCCACGATTATTTAAGTCTTGTCGCACAAATATAGAGATATTTCACCACACTTCCTCCCACAAACCAACAAACGCAAAGGGTTCAAATTTGCTGAGTATAAACTTTTATTTGTATCAAAGGAAGAGTATAAACTGAGTATAAACTTTTATTTATCTGGCAGATTTGCTGAATATAAACTTTTATTTACAGGTGTGAAGATATGCATGAAACTACTATGTGCTACTATCTTTTAAAGAGGGATTTGGGTGTCAAAGAAATCAGTGTTTTGTCAAGAAACTTTAACATCTGACATGTCATATAAAGCTGAGGCCTCTTTTCCATTCATTGCAAGAGCAACATAACCTTTGCTAGGTTTTCAACCAATCGTCATTCTCCCCCACTTTACATGGAAGCATGGAATCATTCACAGTGAACTTGATTTTGGTGATAAGTTGAAAGTGGCATGAGGGTGCTGAAAGGGTGCCGGGAGAAGCCGACATGGTGCTGTGGGCACTTGACCTGGTAACACAATTTTTACCTAGGTTTCTGGGCAATGGTGTGTTGGCTTGATAATTTCCGTTCTTGATTATTGTGTGCCAGTGTGCAGTTGATAGTAAATAAGATAGTTTGTAGGGGTCCACTCACCATTGGATCTCAGTTTAGGTTAAAACCTGGAAAATATATGCCAGGCAGATTATAAATTGTACTATATATAAATTGTATTATATAGGAATGGCTATAAATATGGTTATAAATTGTCTAATAAAATCACTTGCAGCTCTGGCTGAAATTTTTGTTCATTTACTGGTCAACTGAACTCTGGTCCAAACTTGAATTAAACATGTTGGTTCTTGTCTCAGCAACTGAGATACTCCCATAGCAGATGCTCCCATATAAAATTTGCAGGCTTGAGTGTACAATGTACATAACCATTTGAAAAAATGAGAATCAATGTGTACATTTTGAACAAAGACTTATCTAAATCCAGATAGTTGCATCATACATCAAAACCTGCAATAAAGGTTTGAGTTTGCTACTGTAATCTCCCTGTTAAACTTCACCCCCCCCCACTCTAATACCCCCCCACCCCCCCACAATATAGATGAAAAAATTGTTGAGCCCCCTCTCTATTAAACATTCTTTATTAAGACATCATTTATCACACAAAAAGACATGTTTTGGTGAGATTTATTTATTTTCTGCATTGCTCACACAAAACACAATTGTATTGTGCTTGCAGGGCCGTGCCAACCGATACATCTTTGGGAGAGTGAATACAGAACTTTGGGCCACTTTGCCTTTTGGATCCCCAAAATTATTCGCAAAATTTTGGCGAGGGGGTAATTGTTTCTTCCCCCAAACCGTTGTTTGCAAAAAAGGTTAATTAAAATTTTTTTCAGCGTAACCTTTATAGAATTGGCCACAATTTTGCACAACATTCCCAAAAAATTCACATGCTTGGCAATTCCAGCATTTCGGCATTTTATTATTATTTATATCAACTTCTTTATTTATGGAGGGTAACAGTAAAAACAGACAAACCAGCGGCCCACAAAAATTGGGGGGACACATTTCAAAAGATTGGACCTGGGGATGTTAGACCCCCCAGTCAATCCAGCCCTGTGTGCTTGAAATAAATTATCATTATTTCACAGATAAATAGATACCCTCCCTCTTTTACCCTACATTACCACCAGGGGTTTTCACTATTTTGTTTATACCTTCTTAAAAGAATAATTATAAATCAGCAAGAAAAAGTTTTACAAACTATATATACAACCATACAAGTTATAATTATAACTGTAAGCAGTCATATTGTATTTAAAAACACCACTGACAATAACATGATTCCCTGTTTATCACAGTCTGATAGCAATGATAAAATGAAGTTATCTTTCCAGTTCAGGGCAGGAATTCTGGCCAAGGCCCTTACTTTTGTAAGATGGACAATATTTAATTTTAACATATGGTGCACCACCTGACTCTTCCACAGTCCCTAACACTGCTTCTAACGCAAAGGACCATGGGAATGCCCCGAGGCGTTTTGTTAGGGACTGTGAAATATTGTGTCTGTTTCTTGGCAAATCTGTCCATTTCTCGGTAAATGCATAAATTTTGATAATGAGCGAAGATTTGGACGAGAGCTTGCCTTTCCAAGACTTAGAAAGCATCTGGTCGTGTTCAGAGGAAGATTTGGAGACGTCTATGCATAATCTATCGCTGAATGACGAGGATTATGGTAAGTGTTGACAAATTGATACAAGCCATGTGTGCAGGGCATATAATTTCTGTTGGAAATATCGCAATATTTGCATAAACCGCTTTTTATATTGTCATTTTTCGTCACATCAGATAATGATAAACAGAGAACAAGCACTCGTATACAAGAAATACATCAGATAATGATAAACGGAGAACAAGCACTCCTATACAAGAAGAAGGCAACGTGAAAAGCCCCGCGCAAGGAAAGCACACATTCACGGCTCCATCAACAAAGCAAACTCCATATTTGCCACCGTTGAAGAGAGTTTGTGTTGGTAAGTTTGAAAAATAGTTTCATATATTCAAAATTATATATCTCTTTGAACAAACTTTATCGCGTGCGAGATTTCATTGGATTTATAATTTATTAAATAGCTTATAATAATTCAATTGTTCAGGAAAATCCCTATCAGGGAAACAACGATTGGATCAAAGAAAGGCCACTACAATTGTTTTAAAAGATGGTTTTGAATTGCACGACAACAGTGAACAGTCAAACACCTAATGATACGGTTCTGGCATATCTGGGCGACGATACTGTCATAAAATATATCGGTATATATCAATTCAAAAGTGCCCTTTAACAAAAATCTGCCCCCCTTGCCTTCACATTGTTCCGGCGTCCCTGTGTATATAATTATACCAGCCACGAATATGCCTCTGACTACATACAGTATGCATTATTAACCCTTTAAGTGGCAATGCACTCTGATGCACCCTAATTCAGAATTTTACTCTGTCTAATGCCAGACAAGCATACTGAAGCATTCTTTCTCACGTCATTGATTTTTGTAATGGGTCACTCCAGAAAACATCCATACCACCCCCACAGAGGAAATAGGAAGCTAACCCCCCTACCCCCTTCGTATGATCCGTTCCCTGATCAACTCAAGGCAGCACATTTTATTTTAAGGAGAAGGTTCTTTTAATATGTTCCAGGTAGGAAAACAGTAGAAAAGTTTGGTGATCCCAAAAAGGCATCAATTTCCACTAACAATGTTGAGTCTTATGCAAGTTGGAAAAGGAAAGTTCTGGCCACTTTCAACCGAAAATAGTGTATGGAATAATGAATGAATTAGATGTTAATGAGTCTGATGATGAAAATATTGGAAGTGAATCAGATTAAAAGACAAAACCTTTACTGTACACACATCCCACTCGTATTTCAATGTAGCAATAATTTTTTACAGTTGTGAAGGGTTGTTTTGTTGTAAATCATGGATAATAAAATAAATTTATTTTATTATCCGTGGTTAAATAGAGCATGTACATGTAATTTAACTTGAATTAATCTGCTATGACTATGTATGGACTCTCCATAATGATGTGTTTTTTTTTTACTCTGAGTGGATATCCTCACCGGACAGGCTGAAAAGTTTGCATGGTCATGCGGTGGGACAACTACCTTGTCCAATGTTCTGCCAACTGAGCTACGAGGCCAAGTCCGTTCAAGTGTTTGGTATTTCAGAACTAAGTGTAGTACCTTCAATACCAATGTGTTTTCAGAGCAGATCAAGAAACATTAAATTATTTTCACCTGAGTACATATGTAGCATCAAAACATACACACAAAAAAAATATCAAGTCCATAATTATGTTTACATAAAACATCTATGAAATAATTCTGAAATAATGGATATAATTTGACTCGAGTGATAACAGTGTTACTGTTTTATCTCAAATATTGAATAGTATAAATCCTCACTGACACTGTATGTACTTTTGAACCGTTGAAAGAACAAATAATTGAAATATCCAACAGCAAAAGCAGACATCATGCATTTGTTAATAGAATGGATATTTTGTCACTCAATTGAATTTATTAATTTGGTGATACTAAAAATAGATAGATAGATAGATAGACAGACATATTAAGATTAATTTCATTTACCCCTGTCATCTGAAGCTGATGTCCACAGTGGCTGTGCAAAAATAGCAATACAATATTTGAAATTATTTTTAAAATATGTTATATGGTACATTGTTTCAGCAGTGTACACTCTACAGTGTCCAAATAGCAACATAACAATGTTGAAAGTATTTACAAAATACGTGATATATACAGTAGTGTAGGCTTTAATATTCCTTAGATAAAGTACAATATCCAAAGAAGTAAAATTGAAATAGACGGACTTGGTGGGGATTTAGTGGCTTTTTGTCATCGAATTTTGTCCCAACCATGTCGGGAATTTGTTGGGGGCCATTCACAAAGGATGTCCGGCCAAATGATGGATTTTCAGACCCCCCTTCCCGGCATTGTCCGAATTAGTGACCCCCTCCCCCCGGACATCCGCCATGCCTCGCAAAAACTCACGCAACCTTGTATATATCAAGAGTAAAAAACTTTTTTACTTTTAGAACTTTTTTATAACTGTAAATGTGAACACAAAAACATAAATTACTAATTAAAACAAAATCTAGTGTTAACCGCATAGTCAAAATGCCAATTTCACAATGGGAAGGACTGCTCAAAATAGAGGGAAAAAGAAATTTATTTTTGAATTTTTTTAAATTTCGGACATCCGGATTGCTAACCCCCCCCCTCCCCCCCTATGTCCGAGTTTGTCCTGATTTTCCAAACCCCCCTCCCCCCCTTGGCTCGGACATCCTTTGTGAATGGCCCCTTGGTTTTGTCATTCTGCCGAAATATGCCGGGAAAATGATGGGGATTGTCTGCGGCCATTTTGTACTATTTTGTACCGTTTTGTCCAATGGAATCCCAGGTTCTACCATTTTATACCATGTGATTTGCAAAGGACAAAATGGCATGCTCGTAAGGAAATGAAATCAGGAAGAATTTTATAAATATATTAATTTAATTTCTTTTCAATCTATATGTTAATACCGGTTTAATAATATGTCCATCCATCCATGGAATCTATTGTTGTGGAAAGCTCGACATTTGTTTGTTTATATTATTATTATGTTTTTATCGTTCTTTTGAGTTTCAAATGGAACAAAATATTAATATTTTAAAATGTGGACGGTTTATGCGGCGCGCAGCCCGGACATTGTCGGGGAGATATTATGCAGGAGATAAGTTCACACACACAACTTACAATTATCCCCCAGGGGGTGGGGCATTTTTTGTTTTTTTGCTAGAAAATTTTGTCCCATATTGTGGGGCATTTGTCTGTTTTGGTACGGTATTCAAAGCCAATCCCCACCTATATCCCGGGGGGGGGGGTCGGGGTTTACTTTGACTGGTGCATAACATTGATAAAAGCTGTGATTATATCTTACAAATTTTATGGCCTTGATGCTGTATTTTCAAATATTTTCTTAAGATATGTTTTCTTCTTGCAAAGAATTATGGTAAAGTCAACATGCCCCCAAGGCAGAATAGTTGAGAGGCAGAGCGTGGGACTTGAAAAAATCCAAAACAAAACACAAAGCCTCTACAGAGGAGAGTGGTCAATTTAAAAAGAGATATATTTAATAAATCTTAAAGTTTCTTCGCCAAACATACGTTTCATGGCCAAAGCTGAATTCTTCGTATCTTGCGGCACCATCTGTCGGTTGTGAACAGTGCGGAAATGATGCGCAAGTCCACTTTCTTTAAACAAACGAAAGTTTTCCAGGCATTCAGCCATCGGACAAACAACTTTATTCGTCAGATACGCCTCGTGAAACAACCTTGAAAATATTTCGTGCCTTTCTCGCTCTTCGATAACAGCGTCCGCCATTATAACGTCCGCCATCTTGAATTAGGATTTCCCAGTCGCTTCCCTCGCCGTCACATTCCCATCAATCAGCGCGCGTTGGGTAATTCATCGCGCGCGTTACTGAAGCGACTGGGGACGAGTCAGGTGCACCACTACATGTCTGATGTCTACAACACCACTCTTGCTATTTGAACATTTAAGACCTCGGGTGGCTTGCCTTTTCACATTTCTGTATCAGCGCCTAGATAAGAAAAATCCGGCATATTTACAATTTTACAGTAGCAAATGGCATGTGTTGGGTCATTCCAGCTAAATCGATATTAACCTAAATATGTTGAGTGGCAGCACCTTCCCCGTGAGGAGTAAAATTGTCCAGCATTAGACAGAGTAAAATAATAATGTAGGGTGCATCTAGGCACATTGCCACTTAAAGGGTTAATAATACAATGTGGGTATAGTGCTACAAATCATAAAACTCATGTTTAACCCAGTAAGTCGCATTGTGTCCTGATGCACCCTACTTTATTATTTCAGTCTGTCAAACGCCAGGTTGTTTTACTCATCAAGGGGAGAGTGCTGGCCCTCAATGGATTAATCAGGCTATCTGCTCATGTGTCTATAGTTAAACGTTCTGGCCCTCAATGGGTTAAATAATATAAACTGCTTGATGCTGAATTTTTGGAGAGTGCTGGAAAGGTTGGCTGTGCACTCACACCCTACATGTCCTGCATAAAATACAATTAAAGCTACATAGTAGTGACAGTAGATAGCTGCTATTTCAAAAACCTGGCAAAACTAGCACTTAAAAACCTAAATCAATAAACAATTTTAAAAACAAAACACAAACCGAAGCACCATGAAACCCAAGAAATGAGTTTAAATGTTTAATAAAACAAGACAGGAAAGAATTTGTCTAGGAAAGCTTGCTTAAAACTAGTAATACTCGCAGTTTTAATATAGCATCAGGTTTTGAGATATCCACGAGTGTTAAAAATATATGGCAACGTTGCCAAGCGAGAAAGTAAAAAAATCGTGAATCTTACCGGTAATATTCTCCTTTTAGAGCCATAACAGGCACAGCAAAAATGCACCGTCTTCCCGGACTTTGTAAAACAAACAAAATTGATCAAAAATATCAAGATTTTCAGTTCAAAGACAAACTAAACCAAAATATTTCATATTTGTGAAAAAACCAGGGGGGTGAAAGATATTGTTTAAAGCGTAGGATCGCGGTTGGTCAGTGGTAATTACCATGAGAAATAAGAACCAGTAGTCATGGCAATGGCGTAAGATCCGCCATGTCTTTGGCTTCACTTGAATGACTGGCGGAAAGATAGGAGCAGCTACTCCAGTAATATTATAGCTCAGCGGATAAAACGCTTGGTTACCCCCATTTTTTATTGCACAAAACATGTTCATTTAACTAAATGGATTATCTAAACAAATATTAAATAATTCTGTACAGCCAATGAATGGACAATTTGCATTATAACTAAATTTTAGAACCCACTCGGCCACAGTATTTCAGTGGTCTATATCCCATAGTATATTAATTCATCAAGTGGTGTGGGTTTTGAAGCGTAGGGAAATTGCAGGGTAAAGAAATGTTAGCACTCGTCTATACAGTGTGTATAAAAAAACTGAACCCATTCAAATTAGCTATAACGTATTGTAGTAATTTGACAGCTCTAATTGAGGGTCTTAATGGGGGTCTTTGGGTGTCAGTTGTCAGCTAAAATTTAAGCCAGTTGTCAGTTGTCAGTGCGATATATTGCAAGGTGTAATCCCGATAATCTCGGAGCATGACAGTCTTTCGGTTTCAAGCGATCACCTTCTTCCTTTGTTATTTCATTTCTTTTCACAATATTGTCTCTAATGAAATAACAAAGGAAGAAGGTGATCGCTTGAAACCGAAAGACTGTTATGCTCAGAGATTATCGGGATTACCTAAAATTCATAAAGAAGATTTTCCAATGAGAGGAATAGTATCGACTGTAGGATCACCTTTCGAGAAGTTATCAAGATATCTAATTCCAATATTAAGGACGATTCAAGGGAGGAGTGGTCTTTATATAAAGAATTCCCGAGAATTGAAAGAGAACATTAAGAACTGGCGTGTGGAAAGAAATGAAGTGCTTGTTAGTTACGATGTAAAGAATCTGGCCTTCCTGAACTAGAAGAGGAAGGAAAAGAAGCACTCTGGCTATTATTAAAACCACCCAGAACACCGAGACCCTACAGTTCCGTCATTGTAGTAGGCGTCTACCACCCTCCGGGTCAAAGTAAAGAGAATGAACATGAGATGTTGGACTATCTAACTCAAAAGATGGACATTGCTTTAGCTCAGCGCCCTTTAAGACAAAGAAAGGTGAAAGAAGGAATAGAGTCTCTCAGGCAAATACATCGTGGTATGAAAGTATTAAACAGTTTTGAGTGCATAGTAACGGCAATCTTGAGTTAAACACATCAAATATTGAAGTTTGTGATACAGACAAGGTCGAAAGCTACTTTAAAGATTGTTCTTCTCAAACGGTGAATCATCATGAAAGATGCACGAATTGTGACTGATTATCAACAGAACTGACTGCTGCTGTAAAGAAAATTGATGGATTATATGAGACTGTGAACAAAATCTTCGAGTTGGTATGTATGAAATCAAACTCAACATTACTCACTGGCACGATTATGCATGACCTCAGGCTAAATACAGATTTTAGTTCTGCTAAAGATACAAACAGTAATTTGCAAACTGTTTGTGAACTGTCTACAGATCTCGAAGGAGTTAAGTTGGATGCTGTTATTACGGAGTCTAAACTTTCTAAAAACATCCATTCAAACCACGAAAATATTAACAAAAACATGAAATTGATTCATAAATTCTCTCATGAACTGCCTATTATGCAGTGCGAACAACAAGATCATTTTCGAAAAATTTCTAAACATGACTTAGCAATTAATCAATTAATTCATCATTTAGAAACTATTCAAAGTGAGCAAGGAAAACACAATCAACAAATTAGTGAACAATACACAAGTATTGAACAAATAAGAGAAGGATTAGCCGTTATGCATGATGAACATGTTTTGAATCACTCAAGCAAGAACTCGTCAGAAATAATACAAAGCAGGGAAATAAAAAATGTAAACGTTAACAGCACCTCCAGTCATGTAATTATTGTACATGACACAACCTCCTCGGCTATGGAAACAATACCCAATCAAGACAAACAATATGACTACAATGTCCATTGCCCGGTTGGTAATAGCGGTCGACCTTTAACAGAGATCATCGAACTGTGTGAAGATGTAATTAGTATTGATCCAGATAATAGTTTAAACAAAACCCTGCAGGAAAACTGTTCATTACTTAAAACCCCAACAGAAGACCAACAAAGTGTTACATTAAAATCAACCCACTGTAATGAAGCAGCGGAATCAGGGTGTGAAATTAATACTATTACTAATCTGGCAAATGGCGAATCTCTTGCTCCCGAAACATACCAATCGAACGAAGAATTGTCCCATTCCATGCCAGCGAAAACAGTTAATTCAACTTTAAAAACGCAATCAGAAAAATCGGGTCCCTCCGAACAGGTCAGGGCAAAAAGCAGGGAATTAGTTTTCGGACAAACGCCAAAACAAAACACCGCAAATAAGGTGAAAGGTCACAAGTCAATCAAGTGTACACAACGTTTATCAAAAGAGATATATTACGACAACAATATATCTAGGCTAATCGATAAAAGTGAAATAAATTGCAACCCGGGGGTGCCTGTCAGACATGCGGAGTGGGTGGGACGGCTACCTTTGATTGAATCTTCATATAAGTCTGCATCGTTAAGAAAACCTACGACTTTAAACGATTTCCAGCGATCGTGTAAGAGAAATTTTCGGAAGAGTCGTTCAAACCACCGTCCCTGGGACTGGCAGAGGTACCTCGAATTTGTTCGGAAAACGTTACATCCTCGTGTGACTCGACCTCCAATTCGCCTACGAACAACAAAGTAATTCCTATCGTTATGTCACAATGTCGGACCATAAGTCATCGCATTGCAAGTTACAATAATATACGTAAACAAACTAGTAATCCATGCAACCTGGTAAATGTCCCTGTAACTACTAGTAACCTGGAAAATCACCGAGACTACTATGCTGTTCCATCTCTCTTTGTTACCAATGCCTGCCACATAGCTAACAAGGTGGACGAACTGTCTGCAGTGGTTGCGATAAACAATCCCTCTGTAATTTTGGTTACAGAATCCTGATAATCGTCTGATATTCCGGATTCTATTATTAACATAGGAAATACTTACAATTCATATCGACTCGATAGACCTACGCCAGGTGGTTGTTATATTATATGTTATATATTTGAAGTGTAGTACTAACTAAATGTACAGGCTACAGACCAGTGTTTATATATGCTGATTAGCATAATAACTATAGTGTATATTAATTACATGAATATATTACAACCCCCCTTTTAAAAGCTAGCATATCCCCTAAGTATAAAGTTCTCTTCTTGCTATTTTTGTTCGAGTTTTTCATATATAAAAGTTATGTCTCTAAGTAGTATGGATTAAACTAAGTAAATATAGTATCTTAATCGTACGTAAGTGTTCTTTGGAAACTTATATTAATTAAGTTAATGAAAAATGTTAAACATAGTCGTTATACCGAGTTGGCTTCCTTATCATCCGTCCTGATCTTGTTTTTACTGGCGATGCTGTCTCACCGGTAGAACTAAGGGTTTCTTTGTTGACTTCTCTTGTTTCTTGATACTGTAATTGTTCATTTGTAATCGGAGAGTTAACCTTGATTTCTTCTTTCGATGGAATTTCGGTTGACTTCTCAGGAGACGAGGACTGCGAAACTCGATCATAAGCTTTCCTCAGATGTATTCTGTTTCTTCGATATTGGGCACCATCTTCTGTCATAATATTGAAACTTCTTGGAGTTCCCGCTTTGCTTGTGATAATAGCAGGTTTCCATCTACCCTCGTGCTGAACGTAAACATCATCGCCTTCAGATAAATATTCCAAGGGTCTCGATGATCTGTCATAGTATTTTTTCTGTTGCGCTTGCTTTTGTTTGAGCCTCGTCTGGACTATTGCTGGATTCACCGTCTTTGGAAGGAGCTGATCAGTTGAGGATGGCATACTTGACCGAAGTCTTCTTCCCATACTCAATCTCGCTGGTGATCCAACGTCGTTGATCGGCGTATTTCGATGTTCTAATATAGCTAAATTTGGATCCTGATGATCTCTTCGAGCTTTCGTTAGAATTGACTTCGCTGTTCGAACAGTTCTTTCCGCTAGGCCGTTCGACTGTGGATACAAAGGACTCGAAGTTACATGTCTAAAACCCCACGTTTTGGCGAATTCGGTGAACTCCCCAGATGAATACTGTGGACCATTATCGGATTTAACTACTTCTGGAACCCCATGTCTTGCGAAAAGGGTTTTCATCTTGGCAATTATTGTGGAGCTTTTTGTGTTTGAGACCTTGAACATCTCCCAGAATCTGCTGTAATAGTCAACAACCAGTAGATAATCATCACCGTTCCAGAAAAACATATCAGTTGCTACGATCTGCCACGGATATTTGGGAATTTCGTGCGGAAACATTGGCTCTTTCTGATTGCTGCATCTGTACTCGGCACAGACAGAACAATTCTTGACGACTGACTCGATCTCTTTGTTTATGCCTGGCCAAAAAACTAATTCACGAGCACGTTGTTTACTTCTCTCAATACCCATGTGACTTTGATGAATCTTCTTCAGAACATTTTCTCGTAGCGAGGGTGGAATGAAAATTTTATCCCTCTTGAATACCACGCCTTCGATTTCCGTCAGCTCTTCTCTGTAGTTCCATAGTGGTTGTAATGACTTTGGGAGACGATCTTTGTGGCTTGGCCAGCCTTCATTGATAAATTTTACTAGTGCTTGCATTGTCCCATCTTTCTTCGTTTCTTCCTTAATCTCCCTTAACTTGTCATCCGATACAGCTAGTGATGAAATCATGGAAATTGCTTGATACTCCAAATCCAGTGTTTCTTCTTCGGATTTGCAATTAGATAGATGGGCTCTCGACAGCGTATCAGCTAAATATAGTTCCTTGCCAGGTTTGTATTTTATCTCAACATCATAACTTTGTAGATTCAGCAGCATTCTTTGCAAACGGATTGGCGATTTATCCAGTGGTTTCTTCATAATGGCTTCGAGAGGCTGATGATCTGATTCAACAATAATTTGCTTGCCATAGATATACTGATAGAAACGATTGCACCCGAACACGACTGCCAAAAGTTCTTTTTCTATCTGAGCATATCTAGTCTCAGCCGATGTTAGAAATCTCGAGGCATATGCAACTGGCATGTTCGATTGGGTAAATACCGCTCCCAACCCGGATTTTGAGGCGTCGACCTGAAGCTTTACTGGTTTCGTCACATCATAGTAGGTTAAGATTCCAGGCTCTGTATTTGTAAGAATGGTTTTGATCTTTTCGAAAGCACTTGCATGTATTTCAGACCAATGCCACGACACATCATTCTTGAGCAATTCTCGCAGTGGTGACGTGATTTCTGACAGGTTCGGTACGAATCGTGTTCTTGAAGTGTTCTTCCCCACACGAGAATGTCGTCAATATCAGTCTCCACTCCACGAATATCTTCGAATATTTCATGTACTCGTTTGTGAAATACTTCCTGGGCACTTCGGATTCCAAATGGCATGCGGGTAAAACGGAAACGACCAAATGGCGTATTGAAAGTTGTGAGTTTGGAACTTTCTTCGTCGAGGGGTATCTGCCAATAACCCGATCTTGCATCTAACGTGGAAAAATACCGTGCCCCTGGCATTCGAGCTGTAATTTCTTCGATTGTTGGAAGTTGATGGTGCTCTCTTTTCAACGCTCGATTTAGATCTTTAGGATCGATGCAGATACGCAGACTTCCATCTTTTTTCTGGACCACTACCATTGAGTTAACCCAATCAGACGGACCATCGACCTTTTGCAAAACGCCTTGTTTCACCATATTTTCTAAGGTTTCAGCTAGTTGATCTCTCAGAGGGTGTGGAACTTTGCGTGGCGGATGTATGACCGGGTCTGCCATGGGATCTACTTCCATGTGATACGGTCTAGAGAGACGGCCTAATCCAGAAAATACATCAGCATATTCTTTTCGAATTTGTTTTGAGTATTCGTCTTCTGAAACTTGCTGTGTTGTCATCGAAAAACTACCGTCTACCAATTCTGATTTCAATTCCTGAGTAAATTTGACGAGGTTTAATTCTTTGCAGGCTGCTATGCTGAGTACTGGCTCACTGGGTGATTCGGATATGTAGAACTCCAGATCGTACTCTTCTCCTCGATACTTGCACTGCAAGTTACACACAGCTTTCACGGGGACTGGCTTGCCGTTGTACGCAACGAGATTAACTGTTGGTTTTCTAAGCTGTATTCTTGTGGTGGTCGCTAGAGCTTTGTAAGTTCTGATTGGAATAACGTTCACTTCTGCCCCAGTGTCCAATTTTAACTTAACTTCAGTGTTGTTCACCGACAGGGTCGCATATTCTGCTTGATTTTGACTTTGTGTTTTTGTCTCGTCTACGGCGGCTGTTATTGTGTCAAGAAATAGAAAATCATCGCCGGTTTCATCAGGTTTTGAATATTTTGTCTCGATTGCATCTAATTTTCCGCTTGAGCGACACATCTTTGCGTAGTGATTGAATTTCTTGCATTTGTTGCACTGTCGACCAAACGCTGGGCACTTTTGCTTCGGATGCTTATTTCCACAATTCGTACAAGTCTTCCAGGTTTTGCTTTCGTCTCGATCTTGTCTTGGCTTTCTAGCTTCTGGGTTGTTTTTCGGGATATATTTCCGTCGCGGTTGACGTGTTTTGTTAATTGCCCCAACTTCTTTATCGTTGTTGAATAGCTTTAATTGTTGTAATGACAATTCGTCTGCTTGACATATTTCAATCGCTCGTGTAAGCTTTAATTTGGGTTCTCGAATAAGCCTTTCTCTGACTCTAGTCGAAACGATCCCGCTTACGATTCTACTGCAGATTAAATCGTCCTTAATGTCGCCCCACTCACAGCTTGTAGCCAGAGTCTTGAGTTCAGTCACATATTGGTCGATTGTCTCAGACTGTTCTTGATTTCTCGTTAGAAATCGATGTCGCTCAACGATTAGATTTTTCCTTGGTTTGCAGTACTGCTCGAACTTCTGAATTAGTATTTCCACTGTTACGATTTCTTCACCGTCTTTGTCTTCATCAAGTTCGAATGTATCTCTGATGTCTTGTCCTTGTCTGCCAATCATGCACATAAAAATAGCGACTTTCTCGTCTTCGCTTCTGTCCTTGCATGTCGCGACTAGATAATACTGCATACTTCTTTTCCATTTTGCCCAAGCTTCAAACAAGTTGGTCGATTCAAAGTTGAGCTCGCCTGGCCCTCGTATATCGTTCATCTTGTTGCTGAAAATTCGGCCACACCTGACACCATGTTATATTATATGTTATATATTTGAAGTGTAGTACTAACTAAATGTACAGGCTACAGACCAGTGTTTATATATGCTGATTAGCATAATAACTATAGTGTATATTAATTACATGAATATATTACAGTGGTGGTTATTTTGGCATACATTAAATCTGACCTACCTGCTAAACGCCTTCCTGAACTAGAAGAGGAAGGAAAAGAAGCACTCTGGCTATTATTAAAACCACCCAGAACACCGAGACCCTACAGTTCCGTCATTGTAGTAGGCGTCTACCACCCTCCGGGTCAAAGTAAAGAGAATGAACATGAGATGTTGGACTATCTAACTCAAAAGATGGACATTGCTTTAGCTCAGCGCCCTTCTGCCGGCATATTTGTAACTGGGGACTTCAACAAGTTGGACTTCAACAAGTTGGACTTGAACCCTTTGTGTCGCCGTTTCAATCTACGCAAACAGGTCAAGTCGCCCACGAGAGGAAAAAACATTTTGGACCAGATATTTACCAATATGTCGGATTTGTATGACGAAGTTCTTCACATTCCACCCATCGGACGTTCCGATCACCAATGTTTGATCTTACCACCCAAAACAAGACAGAAGATGACCCCAGTTTCAAAGAAATATCGACAAATGAAACCAGAGAACTTAAACGTTCTGGGACTGAAAATGAATCTTGAAGACTGGGAGAAAGTATATTCCGAATGGGATGTGGATGACAAGGTCTCAGTCTTTAACTATATCGTTATCTGTATGCTTGATGAAGCCTTACCCGTGAGAACAGTTCGCGCACACTGTACGGACAAACCGTGGATGACCCCCAATATTAAAGCGTTCATAAAAGCAAGACAGAGAGCATTTACGAAAGGGGAGACACCGAAGTATAAAAGTTTACATGCAAAAGTTACCAAGCTGATATCCAACGCTAAAGCTACGTACTACAAATCCAAGGCTGAAGGCAACCATCAATCCAATCCCGCCAAATGGTATAAAACGATTTACAAGCTAGCGGCAGCAACTGAAAATCAACAATCTCTGTCCTCGCCTGACCACGCTGACCTAATGGAAATCGCTGACAGACTGCAAAGAAGTTTTACTAAGCCTTGGCTAGGAATTCAACCAGATCTTCCCAGACTTCAAGCGGTAGAGCATTTGCTCAAGGATAGCCACCCACCTCTACCATCCATTGGCCAAGTCAAAACCGTCCTAAAACACCTAAATCCTAGGAAAGCCATTGGGTCGGATAATATCCCTGCATGGTGTCTTAAACGGTACGCAGAAGAATTAGCACAAGTGGTCCACGATATTGTGCTTGCAAGCATAGTTCAATGCAAATATCCCACCTCCTACAAGCATGCAATCATTAGTCCCATACCAAAGATCCGTCCACCCACAGACCTAGATAATGACTTCTGCCAAGTTTCTGTGCTACCACAACTAGCAAAAGTTATCAAGAAGCTACAGCTGCAACTCAATAAATCCAGTTTCAAGATCAAAACAAACCAGCACGCCTTTATGAGCGGTCACTCCACCATGTCTGCCCTTACCTCCATATCTCAGAACTGGTTCGACTCAACGGACAACTCCTCAACCGGTAGACAAGGTGTCCACGCCCTATTTGTTGATTTCCGGAAGGCGTTTGACTTGGTTGACCATAAGATCCTTCTGGACAAGCTTGCTGATATGAATGTAACAAGGAGTTTCTGGTTATTGATAATGAGTTTTCTGGAGGGAAGAACACAACAGGTAAATCTCCAAGGTGTACTATCCTTTACTGCATCATGCCCAGCCGGCGTCCCACAGGGATCTGCTATCTCGCCGACCCTATTCAATATACATATTAACGATATGGAGGAAAATGTTTCTGAACAGGCATGTGTCAACACAATCAAATATGCGTCCATAAGATTAGGAGAATCTAGCGATTTGCAAAGCGCTCTGGACTCAGTACAAAGTTGGGCTGTGGAAAATAAAATGGAACTGAATGCCAAAAAGACAAAAGATATGTGGATTAACTTCACTGAAGCACCGCCCCCTCTACCACTGCATATAGGAGATGCTATCATAGAAAGAGTCGATAATTTAAACTCTTGGGAACCTGGTTTCAAAAGGACCTGAAATGGAATAAACATGTCGAGGAGACCACCCGCAAAGCAGCTAAAAACCTGTACTGCCTACGAGAATGTAGAAGAGCGAATCTACCAGTCGAAGTGGGTCTCACCACTTATTTAACTGAAATCAGACCTATCCTTGAATATTGTTCTCCAGTGTGGGGTGGTCTGCCACGATATCTAAAGGTCGAATTGGAACGTGTGCAAAGGAGGAGTCTACGAATTATTGGCCTCCCACATGGTTACCTTGCCAACTCTCGAAGAGAGAAGAATTGAAGCCACATCGAGGGAATTCGTTAACATTTTAGGTGATCCAAGTCATATCTTTTATCAACAAACTATGGAACATAATAAACATAACTATAATCTTAGGCATAGAGACGGTATATTTAAATACGCACCTTTCTCAGGCACTGAACGACACAGAAATAGTTTTGTCCCACGAGCAATGAGACAGGGGTTGCACTAAAACCAAACTTGGTTTTTATTAACTTTTTAAATAATTTCCTAGACTTTTAAATTTTTTACTCCAAATTGTATATATATACATAAATTTTAGATAGTTTGTAAATATTATTGCATGCTTAGTTATGCTCTTCTCTTTTAATAGACATATTTGCAAATCCATTGTATTTTTAAACTAAAGATGGATCAATAAAATCATCATCATCATCATCAGACCTATTTTAGACAGATATTTCGATAATGAGAACAGACACGCGCATGCGCATGCATTTTAGTTTGAAATTAAGCTTGCGTAGAACGACATTAAATTAGTTTGTACACGTCAACATTTACAAAGTTCTAATAACCTGAAGACGGACAGTAAAACTGTCCAAAACGTTGTTAAAAATAAAGTAAACCTCTTGAAAAATCCTGTTTGAAAGTGAATTGAATTCTATAATTAATGATAAAATAAAGTATTAGGCACATTTGGTGTTAAAATTGTCTGCTGTTAAACTGAGTAAAAAACAAAATAGTGTGTATTTATTATTAGGGTGCCAATTGCGGAATTTAATTATTTTTTTTTTTTAATTTTACAAATTTGCCATTATTAAAGATATAAACTAACTATAAATTACACACAATGGCTGGAATGACCACACAGAGATAAAATCTCCAATAACAGGGTTCCACTTATTGAATTAACGGAATTGCCACTCAAAAGGGTTATGATGGTAAGAATGAAGATTGTATTTGCCAGTCTTATCATGTCCTCATTTTAGGGACTGGAAAAAGTGGAAAGACTTGAAATGTAATCCAATCCGGTTTCGTTCATCTATCATGGAATTTGTAATAATACTTGTCATATGTTTTTGTTTGGTATGCTGGAACTACAGGCGAAGGCCGACATATACGAATACAGATGCTTCAAGTTTGGCAACAAGTTCTTAAAGTCTTTTGCTCCTAAGTATGTATTCACTTATTCAATAATTTGAATGCACAGTTATCTCAGTATACTATTAACTAATACTTAAAATATCATTAATAATTCATAAACCTTGTGGCAAATCATGTCAGCCATAATATGTCATGTGGAGTGACTTTATATCTGATAATTAAAAACTCATCTTCATTAGTATTCTTTATAAAATTGTTCATCCTAATTAGTATGATTATATAATTGTTCATTCTTAAAGGACATTGGCACCCAAAATTTGTATTACTTATATCTATTAGGTATACTTGCGGAATATTTAATTTCATATTTTGGCCGGTTTGTCGCGTTTACTTGTTGAGAAAATTTGATAAAAAGTTCAACAGTTGTCTGCCATTTTGAAAACAAGCGCGTATGCTAATTTATGCCACAAAATACATTATCTTACGTCATTGGCTGGGTAAACACAATTTCATGACTATAAACAATACCAAGAATTGCCATGCGTAGTGTATTTTGAGCCAAAACAAAAGGCAGCAAAGTTTTACCAAGTATGTAACTTGTTTGTAACACTATTTCTCATAGTATATATCCTACTCCGTAAAACACTCCTACTTGTGTTTTAAATAGTATTTAATAAAGGATTAACATAAGTTTCTAAAAATAACTCTTTGTTTCTTAGAGCCCAAATGCCCAGATATCACAGCATTGACAGAGCAAGGTAAATGGATGAAGTTATCTTTCAGTAGGCTCAGTAGTATGTTAGATATAACAAAATGCAAATGGTTAACTAGACACACGGCCAGAGACAGTAGTCTGATTAACCCATTGAGCATCAGTGTCCTCCATTTGACGAGTGAAATCTAATTGGTTAATTTTTGCTGATGAACTGTGAGTATCTTCACGAGCTGAAAAATTGTTTGACTGCAGTGAAATTGAACCTGCAACCTTTGGTTTGCTAGTCCAGTGACCAACTGAGCTACGAGGTCAAGTTCGAGTAGGTTATGTGGCAGAAGTCAATCTAGTTCTTGAGTACTTCCATGCCATTTCAACACAAAAAAACTGATTTGACACCCAAGCTCTTCAAATTTCTTTATATTTCACAGGCAGTTAACATTTTGTGGGAATAGTTTAAGTTCAAAATTTGAGCATCATAGCTGCAATAGTTTTTGAGTTATCGCAATTCAAAATATAGCCCGAAAAGCAAAAAAGTGGGCGTTGCCAGTGCTAAATTCACCACTACCGCATTTTACATTTTGACTTGTAACTTCATATCCGTACATGGTATATCCATCAAAATTTGCATAAAGATGTATTTGTATGTGGAGATTTCAAATATGTCACTCTCATCTTGCAGTATCTGCAACCAGTAATGTGTTATAGCACAGCAAAAAGTCTAATTATGTGTTTCTGAGGACACGAAATATACATCATTTTTATTGGAAAAATGTTTATTGACACCAATTATTTTGAAGAGTTCACTGAAAGTACAATTATCAACTTGAAGATTTGTAATCCAGGCATTTTATTAAATTATAATTTTTACAAAATTATACAGTGTTCTCCGGATTGTAATAATTTGTTTTGAGCTTTCGACTCGGTACTTCGAGCCTTCATCAGAAAGATTGATCATTTGAATTTTCGCGATGTTGTTGACGTTGTTGAAGTCTGTGGGAACGTCTGATTGGTTGATGGATTTCAGTATGTCGGTTGCCATTAGTTACTATCGAATGCGGGTGATTATTGTTATCATGAGACGGTGTAGGGAAGGAAGTTGAGGGTGGGTTAAAGGTTAATGAAGATGAATTAGGAGATTTGTGAGAGCGTTTCAGTTGTAAGTAAATTGTAGGGATGTCAATGTGATGGTTAAATGTTTGTTTGTCTAAACTATGCCACGCTTCTTTAAACTCATGGGCATGTTTAGTAGTTGCTTGTCCTAGGCATCTCGTTTAAGACCAGTCGAATTTGTGTCCGTTGTCGTCTGTGTGTTTAGCTGGAAGTGAGCTATGGTTGTGTCTGTTGATTGCGTTCTGGTGTTCTGTTAGTCCTGTCGAATCTTTTTAGAAGTTTGTCCAATGTACTTATCCGGACAGTTTTTGCATGGGAAGATATAAATGGTGTTATGTTTATCCGTTATATGTGTCTTGTCTTTGTGTTTAGTGAAGTTGGACCTAAGTTTGCATGTTGGTTTGTGTGCAACGTCAATGTTGAAAGGTCGGAGGAGTCTAGCTGCCATTTCTGATGTAGTGTGTATGTAAGGAAGTGTAATCCTCGTTTTTATTTGGTTAAGTCGGTCCGTGTTAGTTTGTTGTTTATGTTGTAGCACCTTATTAATGAAGTCTAAAGGGTAGTCATTTTTGTAAAAAGTAGAGTATAAATACTTGCGTTCGTCTTGTTTGGATTGATCAGTGTTACAATGTGTGTCAATTCTGTTGAATAGAGTCTTTATGCAACTGACTTTGTGTTGTGTTGGGTGATTGCTATTGTAATTTAAAATTTGATCAGTGTGTGTTTTCTTGCGATAAACTTGTGTGGTTAAAGTGCCGTTGTCTGTTTTTGTTATCAGGACGTCCAAAAATGCGAGTTTGTTGTCATTTTCTTCCTCTTTGGTAAATTTGATGTTCTTAGTGGTGTTGTTAATTGTTAGTAGGATGTCGTCTGTTTTGTCCTTTTTGACAGTAGCAAGTACATTGTCTACATACCTGTCCCATGTTTTAATGTCATCATTGTTTGTAACAGCTTTACTTTCCAGATCTTGCATCACTGCCTCAGCAAGGAAACTGGAAACTGGCGACCCCATAGCAGTGCCGCAGATTTGTCGGTAGTAATTGTTCTGGAAGAAGAATTCAGTTGAAAGGCATAGGTCAAGTAAATCAAGAATGTCTTGTATATTAAGTTCTGTCTTTGTTTGCCACTTCCTTACATACACACTACATCAGAAATGGCAGCTAGACTCCTCAGACCTTTCAACATTGACGTTGCACACAAACCAACATGCAAACTTAGGTCCAACTTCACTAAACACAAAGACAAGACACATATAACGGATAAACATAACGCCATTTATATCTTCCCATGCAAAAACTGTCCGGATAAGTACATTGGACAAACTTCTAAAAAGATTCAGACAGGAGGGCACTTAATAACATCGGCTCAGGCACCCTAGCGTTCGGAATACCTTCGTGACTCTTCGTAAGCCTAGTTCTTCGGAAATAATCGAAATTAATTAAACAGAGATATTGAACTATTTGAACAGTGAAATGAATTAGCCAAGAGTGAGTGAGTGAGTGAGCTTTTTTGTGAACTTTGCTAGTTTTTACCGAAAAATATAGTCAGACTGGTGTAAAAGATCATCATATTCATGCGGTATAAACTGTATGTATTATTATACAAATATTTTCGGTTATTGGGCAATCCTGAACAGCGAAATTTCATACAAATGTGTAACAAAGCGACGATCGACATAATTTTGCTGGTGAGTATATTTATAGTTTATATTAATGTAGTATTTAATGTAGTATTTTTTTTTACATTTAATTTACAATAATATATTTACAATCAAATAGAAATGTACTAAACATCAGTTCTTTGGTTACGTTGTATACTCTATAAGTTCCTATATGTGTATAACCAGTGAATCAATATTCAATCATTGTTTTCCAACCCCACATTATAAAGTATGCTATATGTAGCTATATACTGATGTAGTTGGTATAAAATGTGAAAGCTTCAGTTCAGTAGACCTGCACCCGTAGTTGATCGTGAGCACAAACTGAATGTTGGTAATAAAGATTTTGTTTACTTTGGCCCGCCCCAGTTTAGAATGCAAAGTTTGCACAAACCATCAAACTTCGGTGTGTTGATTAATCTGTGGCATACAGTAATACAACACTTGTCTAGTGCAGTGATAATCATTTAATGCGTAATGTGCCCCCATGCACCATACGTTTACATTTTACTTTGTCAAATGCTGTATGATTTTACACGTCAAGGGAAGAGTCTTGCACATTAATGGAATATTATGGTTAAATAACAATTGCATGCATATGCATTAAGCTTTGCTTGGTAGAACTTAAATCAAGATTTGCCAAACTTGATTGTTTAGATACTGCTCTTCTGCCATACTTAATCAGTAGCATAGCCAGGATTTTCTGTCAAATGGGGCCAAAAAAACCTGGGGGGGGGGGAGAGATAGCTTGACCAAGCCATACAACCGTTAAACTGGCCTTTGTCTCAGAGATTTTATGAACTCAAACATTATTTACTATTATTTGCCTCTATAGTAGCATATCAGTTTAGGAGAGTGTTAACAAAAACACAGTGTGATAGAGTGTATCCTCCTGGTGTCCCAAAATATGGTTGCAGCCCTTTCCCATGTTTTATTGCCAGACCATCATAATAATGCCATCTGGATTTTACTTTAAAGCAGCTTGTGTAATGTTTGTTGTCAGTCCAGTATGTGACAGCCTCTAATTCATACCTGTTGCAATTAATAATACAGCATATCATTAGCAATTTTACTGAAGTTTTATTACATTTATTTAATAAAAACAACACCATGCACACCTATAATTCTTTCCTTTAATTACATGAGGCACATCCTGAAGACCTTTCACAACACCATCTTTTGCCAACAAATCTATGTCGACTGGCAGCACTAGGGGAGGTCCTTCAGCAAAGTCTCGGCCATTGTGTTGTCTCTCTCCAATACAAAGTGGCACAGCATCCCTAGAAATTACATAATTTGCAGTATAATAAATAATTTATATATTTAGCTAGTGGGTTGATGGAAAATGTCTGCCTTTTTATCACAAGAACATAGTGGTTGTTGATGTTCTGAGTGAGTCTTAACACTGTGCATGTGCTAGAATGATTTACAGTCATTTAATTTCTACATGTTGTAACACTTACTTTGATGAACCTTCCATAATGGAAATATCAGCTTCCTCTGGAATGCTACCTGTGCACTTCAGAAGACATTGACTTTTGAATTCACTCTCCAACCAGCTTTTAATTTCATTCATCACACTATGTTGAACGCTACTACTTGTTCCAGAAATTTGTACGATAGCTGGATTTGATGAGCTATCAGTCTTCAACATCTTGTGTGGGCAATTTTCATGGGAACATCTACTAACAGATGTGTGCCTGAATAAAGAGCCAAGGTGCCTCACAAACCGATTGTGTTCATTTCCAAAAAAATCCACAACTGCCCCTTCCTTGGTTGTACGTGCAGGTAGGTTGTTTAACTGGGCTAAATACCACTTTGCTGCATTAAACTTTTTCTCCTTGTATAGTTGATACAATCTCAGCATCAATTTAGCTCCAGGGGAAGCAATCATGTTGCTTAGCCTTTCATAAATAAGTGGATACAGTTGCAAGATGACATATGTTATCACAAGCCAGTTGTCAATTGGACAAGTGTTCTCCAGATATATCTTTCTGAGGTTGATATCTAGTGATCCACCCCACTCGGGAACTTGCATTGCTGTTGTTGTATTGGAGGATAGAGAGGTATTGATCCTTTGATGTGATGAGGTTACATCTACTTTGCATGTTTGTTGTGGAATACTTGTCGTCACTGTCTTATTCTGTGTTGAACCATTTTTCACACTTGCTGGCAGCTTACTTTTAGCTACAATCACATTCTTTTTTTTCTTGGCCAGGTCAACCACATTAACAGGACACTTTTTTGCTTTGTAAAGCTTCCTCATCATGGAAGCTTTTGCACCCACTCTCCCCGAATACTTGTGTTTTTTGGATTCCTCCTTAGGAATTTTGCTGTGAGTTGGACCATCTTTTTTCTTTAGTTTTCTCTGGCAGGTGATTTTTCTCCTTTTCTGCTTTGGCTCATTCTCTGTTGATAACTCTAGCAAAATACCACTATCTGATTGACAAGCTTCACTCACTTTGTTATGAAGTTCAATGAAGTCTTTCTTTAAGACAGACAATTTATCATAATCACTCACAAGGTATGTCATAGATTTGATCTCATGAAGAATCTCTCTGCATTCACTGCCAATATGTCTGTGGGCACGTTTTCTTGTTGGCATTAGTTTGTCGGGAACTGGTTGCAAAGTGGTGCTCTCACACTGAGGTGGTGACTGGGAAGCTGTGCTGGTAGCTTCTACAGTTGTACTGTCAACATCAACATTCGCTTCAGTGATGACCACATGACTAATACTTTGCTTAGGGATGACATTTTCATCTAATGTTAGGGTTGGTGAAGATATATACCTCAAAGGAAGCTTCTCCCATCCCCATTCAGGGTAATTCTTGAAAACAGCAAAGAAATGTTTACAGGGTAAATGGTCATGCTGGTATGACATACAGCTGCAACTAGGTGTATCAAATCTGACTGTGTACCAGACGTTTGTTTGTGTAGAACTCTGAACTTTAAACATGCCATCATCGCTCTGGTGAAGCACTTGCTTAAGGTAAAATTCTTCTGCTAAATGTTTCTTTGCCATACAATGTTTGACAACCTGGTGTGGGCGATCATGCAAATATGATGGGATGTCTTGGCTGTATCCACGATAAAGCGAGTGCGCTCTGACATTCTTTTCCACATATCTAAAGAGTAAGGTGTTAAAAGGAGATATTGCGTTGGTTTGATTGTATAATTGAGATAAAATGCCCTTCTGTACTTCAGTTCTAATAGAAATTCATCACCACTTGATTTTTATTTTGGCCATAGGGGGTCCGATAGAGATTGCATGTAAACAGCAATTCCCAACTTTTTGCAGTGTAAGAATTAGCAGATTAGTTAGAAATTCATTGCTGGTAGTGGTACAGTACCTTGAATAACTGTCTGGTAAAAACTCTGATAAAATCACACTTAACAATCCACTCAGAGTTTTGTCTCGATGTGTAGCTAGATACTGATGCTTCAGCTCCCTGTTCTGTCTTTCGACTCCATTTGTTGTCGTAATTCCATAAATACAATCTTTTCGATATACCCAAACCCAGCGCTAGAATAACAAATTAATTAAAAGGTAATTATTATTAATAGCGCTCACTTGTGGCAAATTGGAAACTTCTTTTCTTAGGTACAGGTACTCCTTAAAGACCATGTCAAGTCCGTTCTGCGCATCAGTTCTGCTCATAACAAATGGGGACCCACGGATATAAACATTGCCCAAATTTTGCATCTTTCGAACTTTTTTGAATTGAAATGTACCCTAGTTTATATTCATTTACAATTGCGAACCAGAAAAGTGTTAGATATTCAGTTAGCAGGGATGGATTTACTGGGGGGGTGTGCACACACCCCCCCCCCTAGCACTAGCCAGGGGGGGGGTTGCTATTTTTCATGATAAAGCAAAAAATTATCAGAGGCAAAATGAGATACAGTAATTTGAGTAATAACATGATGATAAGCAAACTGTGAACAACAATTACAATTCAAATACAGTAGTCAAGCAAGACTTTGCAGTAGTGAAGCAAGTTGATGGGCGGGCGGCAAACATGACCGACCCAACTCGGCGGCAGAGCACCCCCCTCCCCTACCAGATGCTTGGATCCATCCCTGTCAGTTAGTATGTCTTATATTACAAATATAGCAGTTCAAAATGTAAACAAATCCTCTGTTTACATTACAGACTTGACATGGTCTTTAATAAGTAATAGTAAATTACTTTGAATATACCAACCTTTTTTTCAGCCAGCCAGTAATTGTCAAACCACTTTTGCAACTTTTTATTTTCCTTCCATACTGCTGATTTTTTTAGGACATTCACCCTTTCTTGGTATTCGTCTTCTGTTTCAGCTTGCGCAATGTTTCGCAGTTTCGACAGCAGTTCCTCACGGCAGTGCGCCACTTCATTGTCTGCTTTTGAAACCCATCTCTCCCACGCCTGTTCCCGATGAAAGTCACATAGAAAAACAAAAGATCCTAGAACGAAATGGTGCCAATAAATACATGTTTTATTTGGAAGGAGCAGACATACTGTGTTTATTGTACAATTGTCTTATTTAACATGCAATTCGCCCTAATTTAGTATTTATACTCTGACTAATGCGAGACAATTTTGACTTGTTAAGGGAAAAGACTTGGACATTTTTAAATGGGTATAGAATTTTAGTGGCTGGAGGTAGATTAAGTTGGCAGCGACACAGTATACAATATGGTACGGTATATATATATACATATATATATACATATATATATATATATATAGCTGTCACTAGTAATAACATTTAATTTACTTTACCAGGAAAAGTGTCTTCTAAAGCTCTGATCTCCTGCTCGCAATCATCAGTCATAAAGAAAGATGGTGTCCAATCTGGCGCCCACTGTTTCAGCATTTCAAGTGGCTCTGCAATGGCAGCAATTGTTTCTTGTTGTGTTACAAAGCATCCTACAACTTGATAATCGACGTTTGTTTTCACTGCCAAGAAGAATAATGGTAAAGCATATTGCGTTGTTTTGTACGTTGCATCCAACAGGCACAAATTATTTCCATACTTAGTAAGTAGTCGACGTTGCCATGCTGATTGATGTACAAATAATAAGGAGTGCTTCAAAGATTGGTCACTAATTATAATATCCTCCTCTTCATTCGCTTCAGAATCCTCTTCATCTAACTCCCCATCATTAGCATTTGGATTAAATTCATATGGCCTAAAGAAGAAATTATCCTCTGGATTTTCCTTTTTCCACTTTTCCAAGCTGGATGCGACATTTTCTTGATCAATTTTTGACAATCTGTTTCTCACAGTGGCCTGGTACATGTGGTTTCTAATGTCGGATGTCTTGGGGTGAAATCGACGGTTGGTTGAAGGCGGAACTTGCTGGTGTTTAAAAAGTTCGCTTTTTACAAAGACTCGAATGTGTCTCTTCATCTCATTCACGTTTTTCACACCTTCTGCAACAAGTTCTTCTATCTTCTTGATTATACGCTCATCAACTGGTTGTGCAATCCCAAATGCCTATACAGGTAGAATATGTAATTTCTATTTGAGTTGATCGCTGCATTAACAGATGTACAGTTATGCAAACATTATCATGTCTTTCATGTTATAGTATACAATAGAAAAAATGTAACCTTCCAGGTACAGTACAAGTTTACTACAGATCTTGTCATAGTGAACACCATGGATAATATTTATGGTAAATTACTGTGTTGTCCAGGGGGGAGACTAATCAAATTTATCAAGTGGTAAAGTTATTTTTAACATAAGTTATGGTTACCACTGAGTAATTTTAAAAAATACAAAACAATGGACACTCCGAAAACGGTTAACATTTTGATTCGACGTTTCGACTAGCTTGCAGTCATCATGATGCAAGCTAGTCGAAACGTCGAATCAAAATGTTAACCGTTTTCGGAGTGTCCATTGCTTTGTATTTTTTATTTTTAACATGTTTGCCAAATTTAGTAGACAATTTCTCAGCAGTGTTTACCTCTCCAGTAATATGATTGGCATGGTCAGAAAGGCTTGGAAAGTCAATATAAATTCTTCTTTCAAGTTGTACGTCATCTTTTTGGATGGCAACTCTTAGTTTGGTTGATGCAGTCTGCCGTCTTTTCTTTGAGTCTTGGTCAATCTATCATTTTTATTACAAGAATTTTAAAGAACTTTTGTATTTTTTCCATGATAGTGATTTAAATTTATTTTACAGGATGCATGTACTGTACCTTAAACTCTGGAAATACTAGCACCTCCCGTAACTTGAGCTGTGCCGGGCAACATTTTTTCTTGGATGGCTGAATAATCTGCCTGTTCTTGGTGGCGGCTATTGCTCCATGGTCCCAGTCCTAAACAAGATTTCAATTATTTATAACAAAGAAGTACATGTAATATCAATGTTAATATTCTCAACTGATTGTATTTAATTACCTTTTTTGCTTATTTAAATTGCAATTATTTCATTGTTTATTTGTTCACAATAAATATTGCAATCAGGATAAGCTGGACAACCGGGAGACAGTGAAAAGTCTGTTGTTGCATATACTGTATAGAATATTCAGTACAGTGAATGGGTGTTTGTGAGATATAGAACATGTATTTAGATTTGCCTTTACCTGTTTTTGTCTACGCAATTCTTGCTGTTTTGCTTTAAGTGCAGCGTTCCTATCTTGACCATGCTGGCAGTCGTAAGTCTTTGTTCCAAGTAAAAAGAATGGGGTGCCATCAAACTCAATTCTTTGTCCTTTAATTTCTTTTGTGTCCTCCCAGAACACTCGATGAGTTTTCCCCTTATAATCTGTAGAAATTGATGGTAAAGGATGTAGTTGTTGAAAAACCATCAGCTGTACTGTACCGTACAGTATACAGGCTACAGACATCACTACAGGCTACAGTATGCATAGGTGTACAGGTGTTCAAAATTTGGGGGGTATCTCAGCTGAACATACCCCCCCCCCCCGCCAAACTTTTTCGTTAAAATATTGTGCTTAGTGTCTCCAAACGTTACAATATTGTAACTAAATATTGAATATTGCTCGATGTTCAAAATTATTGCCGAGGGGTGTCACCCCCCCCCCCTCCCCCTTGTTCGCCTATGGCAGTTTGTGCATCATTGGTGCACAGCTTTCAATCCTTAAGTCTGAATCTTTTTCAGTGCTTGCTAGTAATATACTACATGTACTTTGTAGTTCACACCTGACTTGAATGCTAACAGACATTAATAATGCTAATTATTAATTATTTTTTCAACAACTTTTTTTTTTCAACAACAAGATACTGTTAATTCAATTACCTGTGTTCTAATAGTCAGACTTACTTTGCAATAAAGCTTTTTATATTTACTTAACTACTACCTGAGCGACCCTTGACCTGTGTGACCCTTGACCTATGTGACCCTTGGCCTGTGTGACCGGTGACCCATGACCTGTGTGACCCGTGTGACCGGATTATTCTTTATTTTCCTTTGCTGCTACCATATTAAGCAAACCACCATGTTCAGCAATTGCTGAAGACAACCCATGGCTTTTGTCATTGTCCCTACCTCATGCCTGCACCAGCCAATAATTTAACAAACAGTCAGTAATTTACCTCCTCCCTTCGACACTCCGGAAGGGCAAAAGTGATGTATATTGTGTAAATTGGGAGCGCAGAAACCAGAAAAGGTTGTCCTTTTGCCCAATTGTGGGTTTAAAATTGCCTAGCTGCCCTTGTTTAACCAACAATTTTTTTAGGGGGGGGGGCTACCTCTGCCCTCCCCCGCACCTGGTATGCTCACACATGTCTGGTTGAACCAACTTTCACACAATACATTTATTTAATACCACACACTGATACTGTAATTACTAATTATTTGAATTTATAGTTTAATATATAATATCTGGCCAAACTTTGACATAAAATTATGCACTTTTACCTGTATTTCCGAATTGTTTGGATGATTTGTAGCAGGCAAACTTGATTGTGTTTTCCGTCTCATAATCACTAATCAACCTATAAGCCTCTTCGACAGTGTTAACAAAATAAAATGTTTCTGTTGACATTTTACAAGTTGAAATATCTACAGTATATATCCATTGTCGCTTCCCGCATTTTTAAATTTTGCGCGAAACAAATACATAATTATTTAAATTTTAATACATGTTTTATTACATAATTAAAATATTTTGATATTTAGTTGCATATTTAATGTTGGTCGGAAATCGGAAAACGATCGCCATACGTCACGAAGGTATTCCGAATGCTAGGGTAGCCTGAGCCGATGTTATTAAGTGCCCTCCATTCAGACAAGACTAACAGAACACCAGAACGCAATCAACAGACACAACCATAGCTCACTTCCAGCTAAACACACAGACGACAACGGACACAAATTCGACTGGTCTCAAACAAGATGCCTAGGACAAGCAACTACTAAACATGCCCGCGAGTTTAAAGAAGCGTGGCATAGTTTAGACAAACAAACATTTAACCGTCACATTGACATCCCTACAATTTACTTACAACTGAAATGCTCTCACAAATCTCCTAATTCATCTTCATTAACCTTTAACCCACCCTCAACTTCCTTCCCTACACCGTCTCATGATAATCACCCGCATTCAATAGTAACTAATGGCAACCAACATACTGAAATCCATCAACCAATCAGACGTTCCCACAGACTTCAACAACGTCAACAACAGCACGAAAATTCAAATGATCAATCTTTCTGATGAAGGCTCGAAGTACCGAGTCGAAAGCTCAAAACAAATTATTACAATCCGGAGAACACTGTATAATTTTGTAAAAATTATAATTTAATATATATATATATATATATATATATATATATAATTTAATATATATATATATATATATATATATATAATTTAATATATATATATATATATACCGAGTCGAAAGCTCAAAACAAATTATTACAATCCGGAGAACACTGTATAATTTTGTAAAAATTATAATTTAATATATATATATATATATATATATATATATATAATTTTATATATATATATATATATATATATATAATTTAATATATATATATATATAATTTTATATATATATATATATATATATATATATATAATTTTATATATATATATATATATATATATATATAATTTTATATATATATATATATATATATATATATTAAAAAAACACATGTAAGAAAGCTTGGAAAATCGTTTCACATAAGTCATAACAAATTGTACAACTTTTTTGCAATTTTTAAACGTAAACATTGATAAGAATTGATATTGTTTGGTAAATCCTAAAGTATAGGGCAAGTTTGTTTCAATTGTTTATGTATAACTTTGCATTTAATAATATAGACTTTGCCCTTGATGTTCAAGTCTTTCCTATGCATTGTTTGCAAAAGTTTCTTAGTTAAATTAACTTTTGTAGGAGTTCATGATAAAAAGGAAAGCAAATTATTTTCATTAGCGTCCTGTACAAATTAAATTTGTTTCATTTCAAAGTGAGAGTAATAAGTTGAAGCTCGAGTTGAGAAGTTTATAAATATCGGCAAAAAGCAGTTAATTTCAATTCACATTTAAAAACGTTTTACGTAGAGTTTCGTTTTTGAACTTTACATTAAAATAAAGCCCATAGAAACCAAAATATTATATATATATATATATATATATATATATATATATCCAAGGATGCCGGAACTGGGGGGCAGGAGGGGCAGCCGCCCCTGTTGCCCTTTACCAGGAGGGGCAAGGGGGGCAAAGGTGCCCTTTCAATATAAAGGATTGCCTTAACGAAATAGTGAATTGTCAGAAATTTTAGTGCAATTCTTTTACGAATTTGCTTCAGAAAACGCAAGAGATGCAGTCATTGAGCTTCAAGAATAGCACAATCGCCTGACAGAGAACCCCCTCACACCCCTATCATCCAATAAATAAAAAAAAAACATAATTAGGCGAAGTTCAACTCCCGATGTTTTGCAAACATCTCTTAGTATATATCAATTAAAAAGTGCCCTTTAACGCAAATCTGCCCCCCTTGCCTTCACATTGTTCCGGCGTCCCTGTATATACATGTACCTACTTTATATATTTTAGAAATTGATAGTTCTGTATTTAAAAGTGTTCAAATTTCATCTATTTTTTCCCAGTTGTACAAAAAATTAAAAACAATTATTGTGTTGCCATGACCACAGATGATAGATAATACCAGATGAATCACTCAGCCAAAATTGTGTCCACGATTTTTTATGAGCATGCGTTGGCCGCCATTTTGGCAGTAAGTGTAATCCACGCCATGAAACGTCAGCATGGCATGCGCAATTGACCATTTGCGTAATCGACTAAAATTTTGATCTAAACAAGTCTAGACAACAAGGGCAAATAATGTTAGCCAATCAGCGCGTTTGTTTACATTTTGCGTTCTTGACCTATCAGAATGCCTGAAATTCGAAACACGTAAACAAAAGGAGTGAGAAAATAACACCTTGGTCTACGCCCTCGGTGATATTCGATATTAATTTTTTTTCGCCAAAACTGACAAATTCTGATAAAGCATGCTTTCCTCTTTAATTTCCTCGGGGGATTTTTTAAATTCGATCTAGAACGCGAAATATTTATGTTTGAATAACAGTGTTTCGACGCGCGTAAAATAGCAGACTCTCACTTGCACTATCTTTACACACACATAAAAAAATTGGTAGATTTGGCAGTTTAAACTTATTTTCCCCACACCACAGCTGACATGTTTTTAAATATTACCTATCTGATCTCATCGATCTCATTTCGCATCGGAAATGCGTCACAACGATCCAGGACTGACAGGTACAATATCGCATGACTCATTACTGTACATTAAAAGTACATATCCGGTTGGCAAAATGGCGATTGTCTGACAGACCTTCGCGAAGGGCTTAATATTTTTGCTAATAAACTGTTCACGAGGGTTTCATTCTGTTCGTCTTCTGGTTCGTCGTCAATCGTCATCGGCTGCCTCACTTTCCTGGTCGCTTTCGTCCTCTTCAAAGCAAGTCGCCGGAGCAAACAGCGTTTGTTGTCTTTCTCAAAACAGTATTTGCTGTCTTTCCAAGAGCTGAATTCAACGTTGCTTTACAAACTGGGCTATCGCTGATGTTGGGCAGGATGCATTTGATGTGGAACGAAGGTCCACAACCACGGAAAACGTTCCAAGTGGATTAACCTTTTTGCAGGCAGGCAAATCGCAAATCGATGGAAATTTTAAAGTAAGATTTATATTTTATATTTACAGATCTTGATACATTTATAGTCAGTACGTCCTTGGAAATTGTTCCAAAATATGAGTGTGTATCAAAGTTAAAATATTACTCATAATCTCTAGAACATTTTGAATGTTTTGAATCACTGCAGTTTAGAATTAGCAGTCCTTTAACTCTTTTAAAGACAACAGAACTGGCAGCCATGGCACCCCATAACTATTTAGTGTACAATACCAGTCAATGTAATTAATTACTACCTCCACCAACCCAGAAGTAGGCAGTTTTTACTTCTCAGCACTGTCACTATCTGTAAATATCTGTGTGTAAATATCTGGTTTTGTCTCAGTGACCCTGCTTTGCCCCACACTTTGGGATTTGAGCAGGCAGGGATTTATATTGTCTGGTATTGGTACATAGTTTACCATAATCAGAGGATATTATTGAAAGATTTCCCTACCAATTCACTGCCTTAAAAGCATTATATTATTTGCTCTGTGTGTGTGTGTTACTTTAAGTGTACTCTGGTTCCAGAGGCTCTTTGCGAGGCGAAAGAAACAAGATGCGAGAACGGAGAGCCTCTGGTCACATCAGGGCCGTATCACCAGGGGGCAGTAAGGCTTATATGTTGAAAAAAGTTCCAAATATCCAAAGAATAATTAATAATGACATTCTAAAAATTGTAAATATAGTTTTCTTTAGGAGGGCAGTTTCCCCCTCCTGCCGCCCCCTCCCCTGTGCTGTGTACAGCCCAGGGTCACTGTCCATTGCGAATCCCACTTCCACACTTGATTAGGTTCAGCATTTGAATTTCGCATGTGATTGCCCATTTGTAAAAATATGCCAAACTGGCTTGGGAAATAAACATTGCTGTAAGCTAATTATAGCCTGTATTAAAATATTCTATTAAACTCAACCAAGAATGTATTACATGTCCTGCAAAACTGATTAATGTTGATATGTTTATCTCCTGAGAAATTTAATACCTTTTCACCTGCGGGAGTATTAATATTCATGCTTGGTTGAGTTTACTATAATAGCTTGGGGCTTTTTAATTGGGGCTTCGGTGGCCAAGTGGTTAGCGCACTTGCCTGTCACCTCTGAGGCCGCAGGTTCAAGTCAGTGAGAACTTTCTCAATGCGACTCAAACCCAGTCCTCATGTGAAAAGAATAAACCGCAACGCCGAACGTCACAGGTTTTCCCCGGGTACTCCAGTTTCCTCCCACATGGAAAGTTGACAGGGTGGGTTGGGTAAAAAGGGCTCACAGTAATTGGCATATGCTGTTGTGGTGACCCGGCCCTATTTGGCATGCTAAATAGATAGATAGCTATAATTAGCTCACAGTAGTGTTTATTTCCCAAACAGGTTTGACATATTTTTACAAATGGCCAATCACATGCGAGATTCAAATTCTGAACCTATTCAAGTGTGGAAGTGGGATTTGCAATTGATATGATCAGAGGCTTTCCATTCTCACCTCTTGTTTCTTTTACTTTGCAAAGAACCAGGGTACACTTAAAAGTAACACACAGGCAGCAAGTGCTGCAATTCAACTAAGGGCCTGTTTATATGCAGGAAGCCGGGCTGGCCTGCTTAGCGAGACAGGCAGGTGGGATGAATTTCTCTTGTGTTTATATGAGAAAATTTCATCCCGCTTGCTGGTTTTGACAGTTGTTAAAAATAGCTTGCGGCGGTATCTTTCATCCCAGCAACTGGGCTAGCCCGCTTGTGAGTGTTTATATGGAGAAATTTCCACCCCGGTAAGCGAGATCTCACCTCTTTTCAAGTGAGATCTCACCTCTTTTCAAGTGAGATCTCGGCAACCTGGCCAGCCCACTTGTCCATATAAACGCACAATAATTTTTACTATAAAAATAACTACATATAGCGAGATCTCGCTTACCGGGCTGTCTCACTTAGCTGGCCAGCCCGGCTTCCATATAAACAGGACCTAAGTACCAGTCAATATAAGTCCCTGCTTGCTTGAATCTAGGAAGTGTGGGGTTCATGGGGCAAAGCAGGGCCACTGAGAGACAAAGCCAGACATTTATACAATGGTGATCGCTAGATAGTATACTTCAAAATAAGGTTTCCGTTTTTATAACGTAGAAAAAACTATCCTAACGCAAAACTATCCTAACGCAAAACTAAGCCCTAACCCTAATACTAACCCTCACCCTAACCCTAACCTAACCCTAACCTAAACCCTAACCTAACCCTAACCTAACCCTAACTTATTTTAATTATTTAAAAAATTGATATAAAACGGAAACCTTATTTTGAAGTATACTATCTAGCAATTGCCTTTATACAATCCAGCAATTTTGATTATGCAGTGCTGGGAAATAAAAACTGCCTACTTCTGGGTTGGGGGAGGTGGTAATTTACATTGTCTGGTATTGTACACTGAATAGTTATGGGGTGCCATGGCTGCCAGTTCTGTTGTCTTTAAAACGACTGCTAATTCTAAACTGCAGTGATTCAAAACATTGTCCAAACATGTTCTGGAGATTATGAGTAATATTTTAACTTTGGCACACACTCATATTTTGGAACAATCACCAAGGACGCTGACTATAAATGTATCAAGATCTGTAAATATAAAATATAAATCTTACCTGCGATTTGCCTGCCTGCGAAAAGGTTAATCCACTTGGAACGTTTTCCGTGGTTGTGGACCTGCGTTCCACATCGAATGCATCCTGCCCAACATCAGCGATTGCCCAGTTTGTGAAGCAACAACGTTAGCAAATGTTGAAGCTCTTGGAAGGTCTTCGAAAGACAGCAAATATTAACGCTGATTGCCCCGGCGACTTGCTTTGAAGAGGACGAAAGCGACCAAGAAAGTGAGGCAGCCGATGACGATTGACGACGAACCAGAAGCAAAAATATTAAGCCCTTCGCGAAGGTCTTGCAGACAATCGCCATTTTGCCAACCGGATATGTACTTTTAATGTACAATAATGAGTCATGCGATATTGTACCTGTCAGTCCTGGATCGTTGTGACGCATTTCCGATGCGAAATGAGATCGATGAGATCAGATAGGTAATATTTAAAAACATGTCAGCTGTGGTGTGGGGAAAATAAGTTTAAACTGCCAAATCTACCAATTTTTTATGTGTGTGTAAAGATAGTGCAAGTGAGAGTCTGCTATTTTACGTGCGTCGAAACACTGTTATTCAAACATAAATATTTCGCGTTCTAGATCGAATTTTAAAAATCCCCCCGAGGAAATTAAAGAAGAAAGCATGCTTTATCAGAATTTGTCAGTTTTGGCGAAAAAAGTTTAATATCGAATGTCACCGAGGGCGTAGAACAAGGTGTTATTTTCTCACTCCTTTTGTTTACATGTTTCGAATTTCAGGCATTCTGATTGGTCAAGAACGCAAAATGTAAACAAACGCGCTGATTGGCTAACATTATTTGCCCTTGTTGTAGTGTTGTTGGTAATTGTTTAGTATCATGAAGAGGTACATTCAACTATCTTTGCTCGTTTTAATTTTTGCTATAACTTATTATTTCACGAGGAGTTATTTTGCTGGATGCGTATGTACAAGCCAAATGAGACTTGATGGTAAGACTGTCATTGTAACTGGTGCCAACACTGGTATTGGGAAAGAAACTGCATTGGATTTAGCCGGGAGGGGAGCTAGGGTGATCATGGCTTGTCGTAATCTACGTAAAGCTCAAGTTGCTTTGCAGGAAATCGTAGAAAAATCCCGCAACAGCAAGATTGTAGTGAAGCATTTGGATCTTGCGTCTTTGAAGTCAATCCGGGATTTTGCAGACGACATAAACCGCAACGAACCTCAACTTGATGTTTTAATCAACAATGCAGGAGTGGCTTATTTGCCTCAGTTGACAAAAACACAGGACAACTTTGAAATGGCGATGGGTGTTAACCACTTAGGACATTTCCTGCTTACAAATTTACTGCTTGATTTGCTTAGAAAATCTGCACCATCACGGATTGTTGTTGTCTCCTTATCAGGCTATAAGTTGCTGACAAATGAATTCAATTTGGAAAATATTCACAGTGAACAATATTACGATAAAATGGATGCGTATGGTCAAAGTAAACTGGCCAATATTTTATTTAGTAAAGAGTTGGCAAAGCGTCTGCAAGGGTCGGGTGTAACAGTGAACTCGCTACATCCGGGAATGATTCCTGAAGCAGAAATAACGCGACATATGCCATATATTGTTCAGATGGCAGTGAGATATCTAGCAAGTCCATTTCTTAAAACTGCAAAACAAGGAGCACAGACAACTATTCATTTAGCAGTTTCCAAGGACGTTGAAGGTGTTAGTGGGTTATATTTTATGGACTGCATGATAACCGAGCCCACCAAGGCGGCCCAAGATGAGCAGATGGCAAGGGAATTGTGGGACATAAGCAGAAACCTTGTCGGACTGAATACGACCATCTAGATAATAAAATATAATATATTGTATTACACTTTATATATGAATAATTATGCAATGACTTGATTTATAATGTTATTTTTAAAAACATTTTAATAAAATTTGAAACATAAGGTAAAAGAAAATTTGGAAGCTCTCGCAGGAAATTTGTGAAGTGAAAGTGGAAACAAACCCTCCCGGAGATCTGTTGCCTAGCAACGTCCCAATCAATTTTCGTCTTCGACAAGAAAGCTTTTCAACAATACATATTATATAGCTTTATTTCTTGACAAAAATACAACGTATTTGTAGAGAAATACAAGCGGAAATAAACAGAAATGACTCAAGTTATTTCTCAAAACGGAGACGGTTCGAGAACGTATACATTCGCGAGCCAACCGCGGCCTGTAAAGCAGAGAACAAAGTACAGAGATCCCGAGGCCTATGAGTAAGTTGTAGTTTAGTGAATTTATATAATTTGCCTTGCTATTATAATACAAGAAGTTCTTTCAAAAGGAACAGGGGTATATAATGAAGACATTTAAAGGTTCTACTCTTTGACGCTTTTTGTATCACAATAAATTTACCTGGTTTCACAAAAACAATTTGATATTTTTTAAAAAGAAAAGGCAGTTCGTGGATGTAGCATCATGTACAACTACAAGCTATCAATCTTATTTTAGCCAGTGTTTAAGGAGGTATACTCGTACAAATTTTAAAATGGACAAGGCCTTACAGTGTTGCAGTATTTCACCTCAAACAATATAATCCGAATTTCTATTAAACAGAGTTCAAACGGCTAGTTCATAGCTGATATTCAAATAGGTTTTGAATATGTAGTTCATATTTGTACCGTAAGTGTAACAGAAAGCCTATAGTTGTTGCTATTTGTCCTGAACACAGAAGTACAGTCATGGTGTATTATCGCTAATGGATTAAAACTACAATTGGCCAGATAATCCGGAACTATAGACAGAGTAAAATAACAAATTAGCAAAACTTTGGGGCCAATCAGCTATGACATATGCTTTTTATTTGCATATGATGGTATTACAGACTCCCCCAGAGTTGATGGCAAGTAATTTTATAATATTTAAAATGGCTATTAGATACACACTGCACTTTTATCAAACTTGATTATAATATTAATTTTGTTGATGTTATTAATTTTAGAAATGAAGATCCACTGCCGTACGGGAACATCATGTACGATAGAAGAATTATCCGCGGCAATACATACGCACAGCATACCTTACCTGCTGTAAGTCTCTTCAATGCCTCGATACTTTGCTCACTAATTTATTTTGCACTGGAAATTTTTGCAATGAGAAACACCCGTACCTTCCCCCTACCCCCCCACTATTATCAGAAATAAATTTTCTCCCCATCTTGAAAATAATAAAGCATGGTGCATCTGGGCACAATAATAGCTTTATGAGTTGAAGTCCTCTCTAATTACCCCTGCCCCGATATGCTGACCCCCTGGGTCTGCCTTTTCCACAGGTATATCTGTAAAGCTGATGTTATATATTATGTGCATTGGACATCTTGCATTGACTGTATAATACCCTGAATCAGAGATGTAAATAGCACAGTGATCAGAGTACCACAAGTATTATATACTGTCTGGCAAGGATCAACACAGTACAATTATTGTTTACTATAGAGTGCTCAGCCAGACCCCATTGACATCCAACGTCAACAGGAAGCGAGGCGGCGTGCTATTGCAAGGAAACGAGCAAAGAAACAATTGATCCCCAAGTCTCCTGAGCCGGTGGAAGGAAGAAAACACATTGATGTTCAAACAGAGTTGTATTTAGAAGAACTGAGTGATAGAGTCGAGGAAGCTGATGTGGAAACACAGACTGATGCTTTTCTTGACAGACCACCGTCACCACTCTATATCCCAGCTAAAACTGGCATTGATGTCGCTACACAGATATTAGAAGGCGAGGTACGTCGTATTTTACCAAAACCAGCCTTTCACCGACAAGCAAACCAAGGCTGGATTTTTGTATAAAAGGCCAAAGTCAATGACATGCATGTAGCGTTACATATATGTATCAGTGTATTGATGAATTATGACTGTATACAACTCATCCAATTTTACCCTTCATTACAATTACTACAAAGTTTCTTTCGAAAAATTGCATTAAAAGGGTTACTTGACACAGAGATTAATGGCTCTATCACTGTTTCAATTTTACACAAAAACTTTCTTACGAAGTGTGGACTCTAAGAAACCAAAAAATGTCAAATTTTCACTTTGATCTTTTGGCTTTTCAGGGGAAGTGCAAACATTCTCAGGGGAGGCGCAAAACGATCTCAGAGGAGGCGCGCACCTTCGCTCGAGATCCAGCCATGAAACAAAATTGAAAACAGATACTTCTATGACTATATATGTAAATTTCGGTGATTTTTGCGCATTTAATATCACGCAATTTTCGAGTAATTTCACGCACCTTGAAACTGCGCAAATATTCAAACTTTAATTACGGTCCTTGTAAAAATGACATTACATACATAACTAGTGTTTCAAGAAAGGCGTCTGACGTTGATCTTCTTTCTTGTTGTAGTTATTTGATTTTGACATTGAAGTGAAGCCAATTCTGGAAGTTCTTGTTGGCAAGACGATAGAACAAGCGTTGTTGGAAGTGATGGAAGAGGAAGAGCTTGCTAATCTTCGAGCGCAGCAACGTCGTTTTGAAGAATTAAGGAATGCTGAGCTTGTCGAGACACAAAGACTGGAAGAACAAGAGAGACGCCACAGAGAAGAGAAAGAAAGACGAATGAAACAACAAACTGATGTTTTAAAGAAAGAAAAAGAAACTGCTGAAAAGATCGCAGCCAGAGCTTTTGCCCAGGTAGGTAGCTCTCTAATCTCTCTTCATATCACTTGCATCATCCTTAATCTTTATATAATATAAACCTTCAACGTTGTGTTTTTTTTTCAGAGTTATTTAGCAGATATGGTGCCGTCAGTATTTGGCTCTCTTAGTGAAAATGGCTACTTCTACGACCCCGTTGAAAGAGGTATGTTTTCAATTCTATCGAATTTAATCAAAACTTGACCATCCCTAATCATTGATGTTTTTCAATATTTGTTAGATGTCGAGACATACTTCATGCCGTGGTTGCAGGGTCAGGTTGAGAGGAATTTGAATCGTTACAGAGTCGCTTGTCTTATGCTCGACTGTAAGTATCAAGTATTTCAACTTTCTGCTATTTGAAAACGGAGTTCTGGCATTTGAAAAGGGAGTTCTGCTATTTGAAAAGGGAGTTCTGCTATTTGAAAAGGGAGTTCTGCTATTTGAAAAGGGAGTTCTGCTATTTAAAAAGGGAGTTCTGCTATTTGAAAAGGGAGTTCTGCTATTTGAAAAGGGAGTTCTGCTATTTGAAAAGGGAGTTCCGCCAATATTTGTAAAGGGAGTTCTGCTATTTGAAAAGGGAGTTCCGCCATTTGAAAAGGGATGTACAAAACTGATGTTGCAAAGGTAGATTGGCTAAAATTTCAATGTGCTAATTCAACTTTTCTTGCAGCAATGATAAGAAATGTCGTGAAACAAAGAATCGATTCTTACGATCAGTTAGAACAACAATTACTTGAAGCTATCCAGAGAGAAGACGCAGCAACTGCCGCAGTTGAAGAAAAACTCAGTAAAGATGAAGTCACATCTGCAACAGAAGTCGGTCAAGGTAAGATCTCACCTACATTTTCCTCCGCTAGTAACACTGGATCAATAAGAAGTGATCCTTACTGGACCTCTAGGAGAAACAGTTTAGAACTGATAGAACTATCCAATATAAATAAAGTTAGTTTAGATTTCCTCCTGTAGTAACACTGGATCAATAAGAGAGGATCCTTACTGGACCTCTAGGAAGAACAGTTTAGACTGACTGATAGAGCTATTCAGTATAAATAAAGTTAGTTTAGTTTAGGTTTCCTCCTGTAGTAACACTGGATCAAAAAGAGATGATCCTTACTGGACCTCTGGGAAGAACAGTATATATTCCATTTGATTTGTTGCTAGGTGACAGCGAAGATGTCGTGGAAACAGAAGACAAACCGGAAGCAACAGGGGAAGACGAGACAAAAACACAAGATGAAGATACCGCTGAACAACCAGAGGAAGATAGCGCTGAACAACCAGAGACAATTGCGGAAGAGTCGGAAGTGACTGATCAAATAGACGAACAATAAAACCCTGTATATATTTATATTCCAGGGTTGTATAATCTTATATTGACCTTTGTATGTATACCGCAGTGTAAATAATTTGGAAGAAAGTTCTAACGTTGTAAGCTTGGGGCATTTCAATAGAACTTAAAAACATCAGTTCTTGGATTTACCTTCTCTCTTATCAGTGCATAAATTTAAATTGGTTTTCATCATATTTATCCCGTCATTCATAGGATTAAATTTGTAATTTCTACTCCACAAAATTGCTGTTAACAATCCAAAATATATATTACATATAAAATTTACAATTTAAACTCTGCTTAATAATAAAAAGTACGTTAGACCTCCAGATTCCAACCAAGTGGAGCTCATCCAACATTTTGTTTGCACTACAGCAAAAGATTCTGGATTTGATAAAGTTTTCGGATAAGTTAACCGTTTACACAACAGCAGTATGAAGACAGGATTCGGATGGGGGGCACATATTGCATGGATAATAAAAAACGTTTTATATAAATTGTGGTGAATTATAAAACATTTCATGATGGAATCTTTTACTCAAGTGTAAACGAGGTCAGGTGTTCACGAGAAAGTCGCAACATCATTTCGAAGTGTGAAAGTTGATCCAAGAGCGGGATTTGAACTCCTCGGGTCTGTCGCTATATTAAGCTGTCGTAATGTTCGTAATCATTGTTAAATCCAGGCATTACGTCATACTCCCCAGTGTCCATAACGCTAATAAAATATTCGCAGCTAGAAGAAATGTTCCTGCTGTTAAAACAATCTTACATAATCTATTTCTCGTTCTTACATCGGGAAGAGATTGAGAAAGTGTGTAGTCCACTAGCGCATATAATATCCATTGACCATCTAACCAGTAACACGGCGCAGCATTGAGTAACGCCAGGGCGCTCGATAGTGAAATTATATACCTGGTATTATAGTCAAGGAAACATTAACTAGAGCATAGCTAAGTAATAGTACAGCAGGTGGGAAGCCAAGTTAACACAATAACACTCAATATATTAAAAGGATACATAAAAAATGTCTCTAATACCAACGGCAGTGACAGCGGTGAAAATTTAAAAATTGGTAAATAATTTCCTACAGAAACTGAAAAAATAACCCAGTTGATCTTCAGGATACATAATTTTATACTGTTCCAGGAATACATTCTTTTACTTAAACTACAGTAGCGACACATGTCTGATATGGCGGTGCCATGGACAAAAATCGACGCAATTTATTCACATAAATACCTGAAAAATATAAGATATATGGATCTCCAACATAAAGAACATCTTTCCCTTTATAATGAGATATCTTGATCAAACGGCTCGAGTTGTCCAATGATGGATGGATACACACTTTCTCACCTAAATATATATACAGTGAATTGATAGCTCTTATCAGTTCTAAACTGTTCTTCCTAGAAGTCCAGTAAGGATCATCTCTTATTGATCCAGGATTACTACAGGAGGAAGCTTGCACTAGCATTAATTACCTTTCTCAGGGCAGTTGCTAGGAATGTTGCAAATCTTGTCTGACATCATAGTTCTTGCTGGCAAGCATGACAAACCCTAAGGAGAAAGATATTAGAGACATTCACATTTAACTGGCATCTATTAAGACCATCTGGTAGCTGTACATAGTGGAAGTGAAAAATCTGACCTATATATTGTCAGCATTAAATTGTTTTGTTTTCTTTGATTTTTTGTGTAGATAAATGAACACAGTGTTTCTATCAAATAAAAGAAAAAATCACTCCCACCTTCTGTCCTAAATGTGACTGGTAAGAAAAACACAGTCGTGACGCTGTCAGATTCCCACAACAATCTTGCACTTCCTTGAATATGTAACTCTCTGTTTCTAAAACAATTGATATTGGTAAAAAAAATGCATGCAAGAGAATATATTGACACAGTATAATCATCTTTCACATAAGTTGCAGCAATTCTTGTGATTGTCTCATAATTTCTTCAGTGACAAATTCTGCTGCTCTTACCAAGAAAAGAATTCTTTCTGGTCATAGTCATCATATCTGTACAGAAGCCATGTTGGGGTTCAACGATGGTCTTCTTTAAACACGACTTCCATTCCACAACATTCTTGACAAGACAGTTATCAACTGACGTGATATAATCACCCACAACAAGACTATCTTCCACTGCTGAGCCCTAAATAGACAAATATTGATCCAGTGTTACTACATGGGGAAACCTCATCAAACCTATAAGTGACAATAACATACCTTTATAAGATCCAAGATAACAGCTCCTCGGTTAGAGACGTAACCCAATGACAATAGACTCGGTAAAATCCACAGGAAACCCACAGCAATCAAAGCTAAGATAAAATTATGCCAGACACCCGCACAGTATATCCTGAGCTGTCGTAATGGTGAGATGACGGCAAGATGCTCAGTATAAAGATCAACAAATGCTCCAGGGTATAACACCATGAAGAAAATACCAAAACCATTCACACGAACTTGTTCTCTGCAAGGCGAGGGTTATTATTTAATTAAATATTCAAGATTTTCAGCATCATACTAGATCGGCCTAGCACATCATCTTGTGGTTGGACAGACATACCTTACTGCAGCCAATGCATGACCAACTTCATGAACAATCCCAGCAAGTGTTAATGTAAGCAGATAGTACAAGATATGACTCCAAGGAAGATTTATACCAGGCATCTAAGAATACAGTAGAACACAATAATCATCTCCATTAATTCACTCATTTAAAGATCCCCCTCATCTGTACAAGGAGGAAATGTTGTGATCATTGTAGAATGTGCGAGGATGTCTAAAGATTTTCCAATTTTCATGTGGAGAAGTGGTTGTTTTCTGAAATTTCCCAGACATTAGATGTTGATTGATATTATAGTTTAATCTTACCACAGGTGTAAGTACTTGCTCAGGTGAATTCTTCGTTAATGCCTGACTGAGCGTCCATGATAATATAAGCACTGAAACTACCATCACACACACACCAAAACACGCGCCTGCGGTGAACCATGCTTGTGTCAGACTGGGATAGTGTTTACCCCAGCGAAAGAAACAACGGTTAAATTTTGTTGTGTACCATCGGATGTGACCAAAACTGAATGACAGACCATTCTCGTCCAACAATTCCTTGTATGTTCGTGATAACCTACGATATTTCTGCAAAGATAAAATGGTAAAAGTGTCTGCACGCTACCTTATTATTTTACTCTGTCTATTGCCAGACAACTTTACTTGTCAAAGGGAGTCTTTCTTTAATGGGTTAAACACTATGTTGGGGAAGGCTTTTGACTGATGTTAGCCCAGGTCTTACTCAGTGACAACAAACGAATAACGCTGTCGATATTCGTCCGACATTTCCATAATCATTATAAACTTGTTAAATATAAAACCACGTCAATTTAATTGAATTTCAAGCAAATCCTCCGTAGTGTTGTGGTTTAGGCACCTGTATTATGTGTGCCAAGCCCTGGGATCGATTCCTGCTCGTGCCACTATTTTATTATTTTTTTTATACTTTTTTTTCTTCGTGGTTTTCGCACGTTTCTACAATTTTTGGTTAGGTTAGGTTAGGTTAGGTTAGGGGGTTAGGTTAGGGGGTTAGGTTAGGTTAGGTTAGGTTAGGGGGTTAGTTTTCAGGGTTGTGGTTCTATTTAGTGGTTTAGTGTTAGCTTTTAAAGCGTTGTCAGATCAATAGCTGTGAAGTAGGAAGATCCGGTGTCAGACGAATATCCACGGCAAACAAATCAACACATCTTCAAAGGTAGTAGTCAAATTACAAATACAATGATGTGACAACATTAAAAATCTGACAGGTCACTCGACAACAAACTTCAACAAATTTTATTTCTTTTTATCATGCAGTATTACCTTGAGTATAAAATCTCCAACATAGAGTAAAGACCAGAAAAATATCACAACTAGAACTGCGGGAACGTGAGACATGTTGAAAACAATCACAATTTACGGGAACTTTCAAAATATTTTGTTACATTCAGTCAGGGCTGCCACTCTCCGTTCCCTATTTTCACCTATGGCGGGCACTGAAATCCCCTACGTTTCCCCTACAGCACGATATGCAATTGTCCCCAATGTTCCCCTACGTTCCCCTACAAATATTGTATTTTCCCTTCTAATATTGTATATTTGTAGGGAAAATACACTGGGCTGTATAATAACTGGAGGACCTGCTCCATACTTACTACACAATAGAGAGTTAGGCTTCACGTTCAACGACGAACGTCAGGCAAAGAAAAATTCTACGATAAAAAGCGATAAAAAGTAAATGGGCTTGTTGTTTCATGTGAAGGAAAATATGACACGCAGAAATCGAACGACTTTATGCCAAGAAAAGTCGGCCTTGCCGTTTGGCGCTCCCGCAAACGTGAAGCTCAAACTCCCTATTACTGTAAACCCGAGCAAAATTGCAAAAACCTAAAGTTTTTTCAGATAACCAGGGGGTGTGGAAATTGTAGCGGGCTCAAATCCGAGCCTGGTCAGTGGTGAGAATTACGGACCAGTTGTGATGGAAATGCCGTCAGCAAAGGCCAAAATCCGCCATGTTTTTGGCTGCACTTTTTTTCGCGTGAAGGTTCTCCTGGGAAAATACAATATCACTCATCACCATACTCATCACATGATATTTCAGTGCTTCCACATTCAAATTTAAATTTCTAGTTTCCATAAAAAATCCTGCAGTTCCATACAATGTTCCATACTCCATAGAAGCCATAAAATATTGAAATTTACGGAAGAACTGATTTGGATAATCACAAAAAGAGAAATACGACTTTTGTAGGTAAACCGTAAAAGAAACCCCCTACGTTCCCCTACAAATTACCATTTTCCCCGTAGGTATCCCCTACTCCCTACAAGAGGTGATAATCCCCTACCGTAGGGGAATCCCCCTACGAGTGGCAGCCTTGCATTCAGTCTATTTTTATTGGGTAAGACTGCTGGACAATGCTGATTTAGGGCTCGTATATGTGAGGGGGTAATGAGGGACATTAGTTGATACTCATGGACAATATTGGATGCAAAGGGGTGATGTTGAATACAAATGGTATTGTCTAATGTATGGGGATAATGTTGAATATCAAGGGATAACAGTATATACGAAAGGACAATGTTGATTGCATAGGGATGATGTTGAGTACAAAGGAATAATGTTGAATACTTTATTGAGAAAAGTTGAAAATGGAAGGAAGCAAGAGTCTACCAGCAAACGAGAGCGACGAGGATGAAGATTTGAGCAGCAAAACATCGGTATGTATGTTATAAAATATAGAAGAAGTTGTTTTATTAACAAAAATAATAAGAAAAGAATACAAGATAAATATAACCAATTAGGTAAATTGTAGTCACGAACTAGTTACTGTAGTTGCCTGGTCCTTCGTTTTCTGGACAAACCAGAAAATATTTTTAAAAAAACATTGTTTCCTGGTTTGTCCACCTTTGGGAGACATGGCTAGGAAACAATGTTTCCTGGTTTGTCCACCTTCAGGAAACAATATTTCCTGATTTGTCTACCTTCAGGAAACATGGCTAGCCAGGCTAGGAAACAATGTTTCCTGGTTTGTCCACCTTTGGGAAGACCAAAGTTCTCACTGCAGAATTTCTATAATTTAGGATGAAATGCCTGATGTACATTCAACTGCAGTTGTCAAGTACACTAAGATGGGTCCCATGGAAACTTACTCAACTTTAGAACTTGTAAGTTGAATGTATAAATAACATTGTGATTGTTTATCTTGTCCAATTCAATTTTGAGTTTAATGTTCTGAGTAAGATTGACAGCTGTCAGAAAACAAGCCGTACTTGGTTGGGTCAGCTTTTGCAAATGCTAATGCATCACAATGCTTGACAGTTTATTGTCATGAAGCATGCACAGTGAACGTTTAAGTTCATTTTTGCAATGGACGTTTATTTTGTGTTTAGAACACAGATATAAATGAACCTCCTGACAACTGGCTTCATGACAGTTTACAAGGAAGATTTAGTGACTGGACGTCTGCAAAACACGAAGCTCCAGCTGACTTGTCAAGGTACATTTTACGTCCATTAAACTGCATTTCATCCAAATATATCCTCTTAATAAATTCTTTGTAAATGTGCATCGTGATATTGGGTTGTTCCAGAGAAAGTCCACACTACCGCCCCCCCCCCCGAGGAAATTTCTGCCACCCAGGGGGAGAGGGAAGAAACATTTGTTTCTGTTAATAGTAAATGTGTTGTAACATTCAGAGGGGTAGGGGGGTTAACTTCCAATTTCCTCTGTCGGGAGGTATGGATGTTTCCCAGAATTACGTACCATTTTAATACATGCTCGTAGACATTTTAACAGGCGGGTTGGAACCTGAAATGAACATTTTTTGTTTGGCATTTAAACTGTAATTATGCCAATTACCAAATCTTGTTTTTCTCAGTTTCAACATGGCGCATTCATTTCTGGAGAATATTGATGATGTTGACGTCATTTCTGATGCGGAGGTAATTCTTAACTTTCTCTTTACTGTCACAGTCTTAGGCTGTGGGCCGTTGGCCAAAATTATTTCACTTTGTGGCAACCCCTTGGGGAATAGATTTTCTGTGATTCAATGCATAGTAACCGTGGATACTCGACTACCTCAAAAAGTTCCCAAAACCTCAAAAACACCGAGAAAATGGGTGATCAGTGATTATCCCCTATTAAATTGTATTACAGCAAGAAAATGTGAAATTTTATATTCAATTACAACAAAAATGACTTACAGTATCGGTACTGACAAAAAACGAATATAAGACATTCAAACAGTTTTTTGATCCTTCAAATAGTCTTTGAGTTATTGCTGTTTTAAATGTGAAAATTGGACCAAAATGTCGCAATAAGGACTGGGTACTAGGTCAAAAACGCGTTTTTGATAGTGTATAACTCGAAAACAATTTGAGATATAAAAAACTGTTTAAATATCTTATATCCAGTTTTTTGTAAGCTTTCCGATGATGCTGGTCATTTTGTTGTAATTGAATACAAAATTTCACATTTTTTTGCTGTATTAATACAATTTAATAGAGGATAATCACTGATCACCCATTTTCTCGGTGTTTGGCAAGTTTTTTACTTGGGAACTTTTTGTGGTAATTGAGCATCTATGGTACTGTGCATTGAACCACAGAAAATCTATTCCCCAAGGGGTTGCCACGAAATTGCTTTTCCAAGCACTTTTTCTCACAAAGGCCCACGGCCTATCTCCAAATATAAAAATATTGATTTGCGGCATGTACGCAGTGTGTACCTACTTTTCTTTGTTTTTAACATTTTCAGAACATCAAGAAACTGCTCAAAATGCCGTTCAGGTAACTAGAGATTGAATTATAATAATGGCTGCATGCAAATCAACTCAATGAGTTTTGGTTTGTAGAAATACTCTGAGTAAATTAGTATTTTGCAAGCTTGTGTTTATCATGTATCTTCAACTCGTTATTACACCAACTCAGGCTGGGATTACACTATATCGGATTGATTTTCATACCGGATCAATTTTCACACCGAAGCCAAAATCAAGGGTGTTTACACTATGCCGCTTCGCTCTGTCGCGAGCTCGTATCTTTTATCGTTGCCACGGAAACAAATAATAAGTTTTGACCATTTTGGACGTTTTCTCGACAGTACTTGTGAATTATAACTTTGTTTACAAAGCTTGACCACCCGACGTTGCTTTGTCTCGCTCTTATCGAAAATTGACGAGTATTTCATTAAATTTTGCCCTTTTGAAAGCAAGAAGTCAATGTTATTACCGCTATCTTTATTTGTCTTCGCTAGAAATAATAAATAATTATAAAGCGAAGCAAACAACAGCTATAAAATATTTAAAAGCGAGTAAATAAAACGACAATGTTAAAATATACTTGCCGAAACCTATTTATAGTACCGGAGCGTACCGGATTGCCTGATTACACTTGGTTTTATCCGGTACAGCACGTATCGGATTACTTTTCATATCACCTCCAAAGCGAAGTGATTTTCGCGCCGCGGCACGTACCGGATTACAGTGGCGTAGTGTAAACAAGAGGCCAATCCGGTACAGAAATCGCGTCGCTTCGATGCAATCCGGTATAGTGTAATCGGGGCCTCAAACCGACCTGACCGCGTAGCTCAGTTGGCAGAGCATTGGACTAGTATTCCAAAGGTCTCGGGTTCGATTCCCAACGCGGTCGGGCAAACTTCAACTTGCCCGATGTGGATGCACACTCAGAGTAACATCACAAACCAGTATCATACTTCCACAAAGCAAAACATGCATGTGAGCTTGGACATAGAATCACTAGAATGCAACTAGCTGAAATGTAAGTGCACATATCTTCTCTTGCATGTGACTGGGGTGAAGTATATTATAACAGCAATGAAACCACTTGGTGACAGAGGTACTAACTGTGAAACTGAGCATTATATCTTACAATGAATGATATTTTGTTTAGCAAGACAGGTATCAGTCTGAGTGTAAATAAAGTTGGCAAAACTTTGCTGTTGGATGAATTTGATGTCCCGAGTGTGCTCAGCCACGCTGCGCAGGTAACACAAGTTCTTCTTAGACAATACGGAAATAATTGATGCACAATTAACATCGTTTAAGTGCGCTAATAAATAAGTATACATGAGCACTAATTTCTGGCAGACTGAGAGCAAAATATAGCACCTCGTTTTCATATCACATGTGCGAAAACGAGACGCTACAATGACGTAGTTTCCGAAAGCGTGTATTCCTGAAATTCTATTTTTATTTTTTAGAAAGAAAAGCTGGAACATATGCAGTGGTTGCAAGATGTCTTCAGTGTCGAGGCAAACATTGAAAAAGTAATTTTTATTCAGCCTCTGTACAAATCTCACATTTGATTAAGCAATGAAAGTTGAGGAATCTCTGGTATAAACTCTCCCATGGTTTCGTATTTTGCGCTACAACGCGTGATAGTCTGCAGAGTATTTTGATTTTCTTCAGAATCAGACTTTGTTGCGAAGAAAGAAGAACCCGCAAGATAGTCGAGAGAGAAACATGATGTCGAAATTCTTGTGTTATAGGTAGACTTTGCTTGCTCTTTGACTTTTCCCTCAAGACCCGAGGATGTTTTGCTGTGCTTGTTTTATTTGTCTGTCAATGAGACAACACTACAGTGGTTGAAACGTTGGGTGGTGAATGTAATGTGTAGCTAGTAGGAAAATACCTAAATGTTGTAGTAATTTAGTTAAATGTTATTCTTCAGTTCTCCAGAAGCAGGTATTGATCAAGACCAGGATGCTACTCCTATTCACACCATTGCATCAGCCAGTTCTTGTCGCGATCTCGTTCCATTCCTTCCTGAACCCGTACTCCAGGTAAATATACCATCTCAACGACTGACAGTTCCAACAAGAAAACCTGCACGTATTACTTAGTTTCACATCTCTAATATTTAGCAAGGTGTCTGCCACTCAATTGAGTTCCGGTTGTTTCGCCCCTAAGTCGTTTCGCCCCAAGTCGTTTCACCCCCAAGTGAGCTAGTGAATGATCTCTTACAAACTAACAAGCTAGCCCATATTTGCGAGTATCGTGGACAAATGGATCAAACGGCAAACGCGCAAAAATCAAAAACCTATTCACTATTAAAGTGACAGAATTACTGACAAAACGTAACATTTCAAACGAAAGCAAAAGCGCGAAAAGGTTTGACAAAGTCGGTGATCAACGCGATGATTAGTTCAGTTTACAATGGATGAACGAAACAATTCCCAGAACGGTGATTAGTTTTTGACAATAGCCGAACAAAACAATATTCTTTCAAAATGAAAGAATATCAAATTATAAATAGAAAAATGACTCAATCCCGGTATTATACTCACCCTTCAAATATTCATGGAAAGAAACAGACAATATAAAATGTTTGAAACGTAAACATTGATGAAAAAAATCGCACGCGTAACGGTAGCTTGCAAATAGAAATAATAGATATATAATAATAAATATATCTATTATTTCTATGGTTTATTCTTTACAGTTTATTCTTAACGAAACGTTTAGACGAATCGACTTAGCCACTTGGGGGCGAAATGACTTGGGGCGAAACGACTTGGGGGCGAAACGACTTGTATTCTTACCACAGACAGGAATAGAACCTTTAAAATTCTGGTTTGAAATGGCAGCCAAGTTATTTTGTTCAGATATCACATCATTACTCTCCATTTTTTTACAGCCACAAGAACAATCAAAATTTCAAAGAAATGTCGTGTGGAAATTCGAAGATACAAAAATGTTGATTGGATCAAATATGCCTATATTTGGAGGTGGAAAATACCCAGCTGTCAGCCTTAGACTAAAGTACGAAATTTGGTTTGGAACAGTTTAGAACTGATAGAGCTATCCAGTATAAGTAAATTTTAGTTTAGATTTCCTCCTGTAGTAACACTGGATCAATAAAGGATGATCCTTACTGGACCTCTAGGAAGAACAGTTTAGAACTGATAGAGCTATCCAGTATAAATAAAGTTAGTTTAGTTTAGGTTTCCTCCTGTAGTAACACTGGATCAATAAGAGATGATTCTTACTGGACCTCTAGGAAGAACATTTAGAACTGATAGAGCTATCCAGTATCAAAAAAATTAGTTTAGTTTAGGTTTCCTCCTGTAGTAACACTGGATCAATAAGAGATGATTCTTACTGGACCTCTAGGAAGAACATTTAGAACTGATAGAGCTATCCAGTATCAAAAAAATTAGTTTAGTTTAGGTTTCCTCCTGTAGTAACACTGGATCTAATAAGAGATGATTTTTGTATTCTCAGTGACTGTTCTAAACCTATCAACGTGTTGACTGGACTGGATTATTGGCTGGATAACTTGATGTGTAATGTTCCTGAGGTCGTGATGTGTTTTCATATGGATGGTATTGTGCAGGTAGAATTGAAAGCAATTATATCTAACCAATCACTAGATAGTCTGCAAGACGAGAGATTTAGTCCTAGGTTAGATACATACATAGCGTGAATCAAGGCACTTGTCCACATCGAACGAGTCTTCTGTTCCTTGTCGTTTGCTGCAGTTTATTTCTGACGTTTCTCTGATTTATTTTCAACAGAAATATGAACGTTACCAAACAGATGAACTTCCCAATATTGAAGGCAGTCGGTTTTCTCCAAGGGTAAGCCGCTAGCTTCATATCCATAGAGGCCTCATTTTTACTACAGAAGGACGATATACCTCCGGACAAACTGGAGCATACAAAATGTAGTTTAATTGTCTGATAAATCGTGTATAAACGTGGCAGACAGACGAATCATCGGTCAATATGTAGAAATACTGTATTAGACAACTATCTGGAACCCACCAACGAGTTGTAGACTTTCTTATTACAAATACATTTTTTTACATCAGCTTATTTTGTTTGTGGGGTTACTCTGAGTGCCCACCGGGCAAGTGGAAAAATTTGCCTGACCCCACTCAGAGTAGCACCATAATGCCTGCGTACATAACACCAACAGACATTTTCCTTATTTATTTCATTTGAAGGTTATAAAAGATGTGGCGAGAAATATTTTATCATTTTTGAAATCAAACTGTACTCAAGAAGGTCACACGTACTGGCTTTTTAAAGGTATTTACCAAATATAATTTTTGTCAAATTGTCTTTCACCTATACAAACCAATCCGTGCGACAGTGTACGGTTACGCTGCAGTACGATTGGCACGCTTGATAAAGAAATTTTGGTCTTTTAATATTGCTTATTTTCAGGCAATGGCAGTGATGTGGTAAAACTCTATGATCTCACGTCATTGTGTGATAAGGTGAAACTCCATTGTCATTTTTCTGCCTATGCATCGTTTAGGGTTTTAACTATGCTACATATTTGCAATAGAATAGTTTTCAGTGTACGGTTTTAAATTTAATGGCAAAAATTTAAGTGCAAATGAAGATTAAGTAATCAAAATATGCTGTTAGTCAATAAGGAATTGTCAACCCTGGGGGTTAAACCTGGCTGGTAATTCTGAGTTAATATACCCAGACCTTATATGCTGAGTTCATTTTTATTCGTTTTAAACGTTTTATGTACTGTACATTGTAGACATCAAATGATTCAGCCAATCCTTTCAGTGTTCCAGTGGCTATGTTGTTATACAGGTAGGCCGGGTTAATAAGGTTATGGCTCGTCTTTTACTATGAATATTTTCTATTTGATCTGAATGTATGTTTTGTCAGAATTTGAAAATTCTCGGGGAAGTATTGTTCAAAGAATTTCACTTGCTTTTCACGGCGTGAGTTTAGGTACTAGGTCATAAAACACACACGCCAGTCATGCAAAGACATTGTTATATTTCAATTAAATTGTAACACATTTTGTTTCGTCCAGGGTGGCTAAGAACATGATGAATCAGTCAAACATTTCTGACAGGTAAACACATATTTCTTTTATATGAACAAGCTTTCGTTGGCAGGGATGCAACGACCCGAAAAATAGAAGGAGAATTTCGACATTTCGAGCCCAGGCCCTACAGTATTTATCACGCAGAGTGCGAACAGTACACCTTGAGTGTTAAGTTTGTTGCAGCATCGATCATGTAGGCAGGGTGGCCCGTTCAGCTACAAAGGTTGGTGTTCAAAAGGGGGGGGGGTCTACCCCGTATCCTGAATATGGTCGACATTTGAAACTGAGAAAATGTTTGGTCATTGTCAGGGAGCAAAATATGGTGCAACTGTTGCTGACAAACTGTCTGGATCTTCTCAATAATGAGCCTCGACCTGATGATCATCTCGAGATTATTACGTCATCACACTATCTTTTGGCTGAGGTGTATTCATCGACCAATCAGAAACGCGCTGAAGAAGTATTGGAGAACGCAGAACGTTGTGCCAGCCCTGTCTGTGATGACGACGAATTTCCTTGGCCCAAGGTAACTTGGGATTCGTGTGTACTAAAGGGCTAACCTGGGGCCGGCCTTGAGAGGTCCGAAACTCAGATTTTAGTGGGTTTAGTCAGTACTTAGTGGGTTTCAGTGCCATGGTGCTCGACACTAAAAGAGAGTTTTATCAGAGTGACTGAATGGTTCACTGCATGTGCATCTATCTTATGTTTCTCATACTTGATGTGGTTATATTTTATTTCAGACATTGACCATCGGTGATTTATCGAAATCGAACAGCTTTGAAGAATCTTATGACGAGGTTTGAACTATTGTAGTTTCCAAAACAAACAATCGATAATAATGAACCGGTCATGTTGGATTGATTTCTATTGGAGCGAGGTTCTCTGTTTGATATTCATGATATGTTAATATTTTTAGGTTGCTGTTGATCTTCCTGAGAATGTTCATGAAAAACTTAGAATGTCATTATCACATGTCGTGAAGGTGCGTCTCTTTATGGATTTATTTCGCATCGACACAAAGTTCCTTTCAAGATTCTTCACACGGAGTCCGATGTTTGGCCACGGGAATATTAAAAGGAAGAAGTTATTTCCCTGACCTCAGAATAACATTTTGTCAGAACTTTTTTCTTCAATATTGGCTTAGAAACGAACTTGGAGTAGGGTTATGTTAGGGTTAGAGTTGGTGTTTGGAATAGGTTTAGTGTTTTAGTAAAATCGTTGCTTTGTTACGTTTTGTCACTCTGAGGCCAGCGAAATAACCTCTTCCGTACTAAAACACTTTTCCTAACTAAGTTATTCTTTCCTTTCACTGGGGGGAGGGGAGGGGGCAACATGTTTTACTAGACATCCTCCACCCTGGATTGATAAGTTTACTTTCTCCCAGTTAACGTAAATGAAAGTCAGTGTTTGTCTTGTCTAGGCATTGAAAAGTCTACATAGAGCTATGGACGATCACAAGTTCTCCGTGTCTGGCAAGGAAACTAAACGTCAGACTGTGCTACCCAGCCGTCCTTATATCCTGGCTTTACCTGACGCGACATTCACTGGCAGGACTGGGGATGAGTATGTCGGCCACGTGACCGGAAGTACTGATGACATGACTCCCCTGAATTTCAACTTCCGGCAATGGCAGGGCACCTTCGAGTCTGTTCTCATACGCAAAGCCGCTGGACTGTATTCAGACTTAGCATCTCTGGCTCACGCTGACGGCGCCCACGGTCTTGCCCTGCGGTATTTACGGCTCTCTCTAGTGTTGCTATCGTCGTATCGGAACCTCGAATGGGTGAACTCGAGTCAAGAACTAGACCTGTTACCTACAGTGCTTTGCTGCTGTGGTGACGTGTACATGTCCATGGCGAAGTCACGTGACCTGCGGGAATGTATGGAAACTAGTGAAAAGGATTATGGGGCGGGTCATGAATATGATCAGTATTTTGATGAACATTATAGAATTGCTGACGAGGCAGTTTATCAACTCGATGTTGAGTTTATTGCTGAGGTTGAGAAACTCTTGCAAAAAAGGTGAGCCAGCCGAAAATCATTACAATTGCTCCAGTACAACCAATGGCTGTCAGTAAAGGCTCTTCAAACCTGTTGACAACTGATGCATCATTTCAATGCTCCGTTTATTATAAACAGGCATAACATGCATTGGTTCTATTGGAACAATTGTAATACTCTTAGTGTTAAAGATAATCTCTCAGTTAGAATTTTCGATGTTCACTAATAATTTGCTGCGTAAAAATCTGGAACACAGCTGTTGCAAAGTTTCAGGACTCCATGTATTATGCAACCTCAACATACTCGGACTTTCAACAGAGACTTCTAGTAGAAGTTCTACTGTAAGTGCTGTTTTCAATGAGAATTTCTACAGGTATGATCATTTCATTGTAGTGAAAGTCTTTATGAGCGAGCCTTGGACGTCTCAAGTGATTCCCGGCAGGTCGAGCTTTTAGTCACTGTTACCAGAAGACTGGGAAACATTAGAAATGAACTGGGTATGTTTTACATGAATACCGCTGCTAAAATGACTGATGGCGCAGATGACATCACACCGGAGGTGCTTTGGAAGAAAAGTTTGGAGTCGCTTAATGCTGGGATTCGCGCATTTGAAGCTGTAGATGACAGGTACTGGACTCGATATATGTTACTGGAATTAAAGTTAGTTTGGTTTATGTTTCCTCCTGTAGTAACACTGGATCAATAAAAGATGATCCTTACTGGACCTCTAGGAAGAACAGTTTAGAACTGATAGAGCTATCCAGTATAAATTAAGTTAGTTTAATTTAGGTTTCCTCCTGTAGTAACACTGGTTCAATCTCTCATATTTTCAGGCCCAATGTCGCGTTACTTCACTCTAACGTGGGTCGTCTGATGCGTCTTTGCGCTCAGAGTCTCTTCAATGATGCTGACAAACGCGGAACATTCACACCTCGAGAGAAAGCTTACTACACATCTGCTGTTGAACATTACCAGAAGTCACTGGGGGCACTAGGAGAACGGAAATCGTTCCCAGAGGTTTGGGACAGAGTCAGGTGGGAATTATCGGGGACATACTATACAATGGGTACTTTGGTTCAGGATTATGTTTCATTAAAGGAATACGAGGAGGAGACGGTAAGTTGTTTCAATGTTTCTTCAAGTGAGTTGAGCTGCTCAACTGGTACGAGGATCTTAATAAACATCACTTGAATGACTTGTTGTCTCGATGTGATGAAATTGAAGACAAACACTAATTGTAAAAGTTTTAAACATGACAGTATCTGAAGTAGATAGTTTGACCTAAGAAGCCAGGAACATCTTTTTTGACCCTCTTTACTTTTGGATTTGGAAGCCATCAGATGGAAATGATCGGCTATACTTTATTTCTATATTGTAGTGTGAGAGAGAGGTGTCAGACCTGATGTTCAAGAGTCTCAAACTATGTGAAGGTTTGCAGTTTCCTGACAAGAATCTCAATGTGGATGTGAAATATAGAATTGGAACAGTTCATTATCGACTCGCATCATTGTACCATAACTCTTGGAGAATGTTGGTAGGTTGGAGGGATAATTTTTTGACCATTGGATGTCATATGACTCGTATATATTGCTGTATTCACACGCCATTGCATATATTTATCGCCTAGAACGTTGCGGTAGCGAGCTAATGATGCTAAATGTTTTCATTACGTATAAACACAAGATGATTAGTAACTTTAAACTTTACTTTCTAGCCATTATCAGATCCTAACTCGAAAAAGAAAAGACATTTGGCTGAACTCCACTACATCAAGGCCGCTGAGTTTATTGACGTGACGTTACATCCGACCGAGTGGCTGCGAATGAACCTGGAACGAGTCGCTTTACTGGAACACCAGCTTGGCAGCGTACGTAGCAAGGGGAGTGGGGCGAGTAAGATATTTGACTCGATACTAGAGCTTTTATTGAATTCGAAACAAGCTTTCCAGGCTTATAATGCTGAAATGGGGAGAAATTGTACGGGCATTTCAGAAAATGACGACAAATATGGCGGACAGGGTAAAAATACGGAGAAAAAACATGAATCAGACGAATCAACTGAAAAAACAAAGCCTGACTTAAGGGCAGAAAATATCAAGAAAAATGGTGGGGACAAAGATATTTTGCTAAAACAAACACCCACGGTAAATAAACAGAATTCTGGCGATACTCCAGGGAAACACGAGACAAATAATTCTGCAGAAGAGGTTGCCCGTCGTGGCGGGAAAGGCGAAACAGAAAAAGTGGCGGACAAGGAATTTTTAAGTCTTGTTGATATTTTTGAAGCAAGGTTAAAGAATTGTTTGAAAGAATGCATTAAACTTCGCTCTGTCGCTAAAATTCCCGTGAGCACGCAACAGAAAGAACGTGAAAAAGTTTTAAAACGAATGTTTGAGCTCACGCTTCGAGCAAGCCTCGCACGAGAACCTGAAGAAAGTTCGCTCGAGCAATGCGAGAAAGTACTGGGGACCATTACTGCTTTAGAGAAACTTCAAAATAACACAGAGTTCAATAATTAAAAATCTAACGTGTAATCTTTCGCTTGTCAACTCTCATGCAACTCTTTTGGCAAACAATGAAAGTTGGGGAAACTCTCGTGTAAAGCGCATGCAAAGAATGACGTCAGTTTCTTTATGACGTCATGTGCCTAATTACAATAATCTCCGCGCAGCAAAATGCGATGTAAACGCACGTTGAAATTAACGCCTTTTTGATGTCGAATTCGGCAGAAAACGGGAATATGGATGGTTTAAATGATATTTCTGAAAACAACAAGACAAAACGGTGAGTTGTATTGATGAGTAAGTTGTTTGTTTTGCAAGTACAAAGCTGTGTAGTCCTGCCCTGTTGTAGAATGTTCCTCTCGTATTCTTTCTAGTCATGAGGCGAGTCCGGTGGAGGAAAGCGTTTGTTGGTATGATTTCTTTAGAGACGTTGGAACTCAAGTGAGTGTTTTAATTTATTTATTATCCTGAAGAAAACATAATTCGTCTGATATAATACGTTATCATGTGTTTGTAGACACGTCAAACAGGCAAGATCAGCATGCATATACGTGGTTTGTTTGGATAGATAGAAATATCATGTAGAAATACGACATTCGACGAACTATCAGGAAAATATCAATCATTATCTATTCTCGATAGTTTATCTCATTTACAATAACCTTGATGGCTTGATTGATAACAGCATTTTTTCTGCTGCACAACTTAGCCTGTATAAATAAAACTCATTAATAATTCATGAAGAAAACACAAAGAATAATCATAAGCGTGTCGTATAAAGTTTATATGTGATAGAGATTTAAATTCCTTGATTTACATAAACTTTAACTTAGACTTTCTCGATTTATACAACGTACGTTTTTTTTAAAATTACTTCGCCAATGAACTTGCTAGATCGATTGTTTTTGAAGCAATTAATTTAAAACATTCGCAGTGCGTGTTTTGTCAGACCTAAAGATACTCGGTTTCGCCTCGTATCTTTATATCTGATAAAACACTGCTGCTCATAATTTAAATAGTGCATAAATGATTATTATTTATTTGTTTTGGATTTATTTCATGATTTCTATTAAGTTTTTATTCCACAGTTGTTTCTCTACGAAATATTTTTACGTTCTCTTGTATTTTTTGAGGTTGAGGAAGATGACATACTCCGAGAGAGTGATCTTCTGGAGGAGCGCGTTACTCCAGACAATTCTCCAGCGCGAGTTGGGATGTGTGCTACAGGTGTCGCTGAAACTGCTGCAGTCGGAAACTGTGGTCAGATTTTTGGAACAGCAAAACTTAACACTGAACCACGGCTCACGTTTATGTTGCCTTCAATAAGATCTGCATTTGATGGAAACGTCACTCAATCTTCTCCAGTAAGTATTTCACCATTGAACGAATTGAGTTTGCGTAGAGCTTACAGCGTAGAGCTTACATCGTAGAGCTTACATCGTAGAGCTTACAGCGTTAGAGATTACAGCGTAGAGCTTACAGCGTAGAGCGTGTCTCACAATTTCTGTTCATCTTGTAGAGAAGCGCTGCAGTGAATGGTCGAAGTGAAGCATCCAGCAGCGGAGTTTCTGTGGGTGAACCTTTATGCAACCTGCACAGCATTCCTTCCACCCTCTCATCATCCACTTCTTCATTGCCACCTGTGACGTCACTTTCTGTGATGTTACCACATGTGACGTCACAACCCATGACGACATTACCCACGTTGTTGTCATCTACCGTGACGTCAACAACTATGACGTCAGCAAAGGTCACGGCAGTTACCATGACATTCCCGCAGGTGACATTTGCAACCATGACTACCAGCAAGCCAGCACCAATGCCATTATTCTCCATGACGTCACCACCACTAATGTCTGCAACTATGACCACCAGCAAGTCAGGAGAAATGACGTCACTATCCATGACGTCACCACCAGTAACGTCTGAACTATGACCACCAGCAAGTCAGGAGAAATGACGTCACTATCCATGACGTCACCACCAGTAACGTCTGAAACTATGACCACCAGCAAGTCAGGAGAAATGACGTCACTGTCCATGACGTCACCACCAGTAACGTCTGCAACTATGACCACCAGCAAGTCAGGAGAAATGACGTCAGTATCCATGACGTCACCACCAGTAACGTCTGACACTACGAAGTTACTACGTAAGACGTCAACAAGTATCACGTCAGCAACAGTAACTATGACACTTCCACCAGTCACGTCGTCACCAATGACGTCAGATGTTCTGATGACGTCAGCATCATTCCTTCCTTTGCTAACAACAAATGTGTTGGATTCTTCCAAGAAACGCAAGAGATTGTCGCCCAAACTCTCTGACGGCAGAGTAGTGAATCGCAAGTCTCGAAGTCCTTCACCCAGACTATCACCGAAACGATGTAACGAGCAGAAAGTCGTTAGCCGAAGTCCTTCACCGCGACGCCGTGACCTGAAGACACGGGGAAGCCTAGATACAGTTTCACCCACTCCTTTGCATGATCAATCACGTGAACAAACACGTGACATAACGTCAGTGAAAGAAAAACAGACGTTAACTGGTGTACGTGAAAGTATGGAACGAAGATCCACAAAGAAAGTTATTGTGAAAGAAACAACCCAGGAACAAAGTATCCAGGCGAAAAGTACCCCGGAACAAAATACCTCAGGGAAAAGTACCCCTGAAGAATCTGCCATGGAGCAAAATAGCTCACTGGAGAAAAACACCTCTGAACAAAGTACCAGGGAACAAATGACCTCGAAACAAAGTATCCCGGAGAAGAGACCCCCTGGAAATCATCCCGTACTGTTGACAGGTCCACTAGTTTATACGCCTGAGTATGTACCACTGTTGACAACATTTGAGAACAGTACTCCACAAACTAACACTCTGGAAACTACTAAACCTGCTCTGGAAGCCAGGAAATCTAGTTCTAGCAGTGTTGAAAAAGGTAAAACTGGATATACAGATCTGGAAACTGGTAAAACTGGCTCTACCAGTCCAGAAATGATCGCCAGTACTAACAGTGCGGGCCCATCGGGAAACGAGAAGTCACATCATTCTGTCAGCGGTAAAAAGAGACGAAGAACAGGCGCAAGGTCTTTTGGGAAAGGCAAGAAAAAAAAGAGCAGGACAGTAGTGGATAAGACAGGTGATGATAGAGAACTGAGGGACAGATTACCTCAGAGAGTCTGGGATGGAACTTCATATAAAGTTGAGGTATGTTGAGATCATTGCTTGAGATAATGAGTTATATTGTTATTCTAATGAGTTTCACAGCCATCTTCCCTTCGATAGGATATGCTCAGCTGACATGATTGCAATTATTATTTTATTATATTCGCCATCAAATACATGAGTATTATATAAATTATTTTCTCACTCTGAAAACTGCAGGTGGACCCTTCAAAACCTTCCAGTACATAAATGAATGCAGTTTACATTTAAAATCGTGAAAAAATGTTCCGTTTATAATAATCAACTTTTTCAATAGGAAGTGGGAGACATTGACTTCAATCCAGAGCTATCAAGACGAGTCAGTCACGCTGGAAGTTTGGGGAGAGTTTCGTCCAACCCAAATACCCGACTCCGCTCTAGAAATGGCAGTAAATCTTCCACTAGTGACGCCATCTCAACTACTGACGTCGTGCCAAGTGATGACGTCACATCAACATCTGACGTCATCAATAATGAGGTCATATCTAATAGTCACGTCATTTCAGCGAATGACGTCATCTCAGGACAATCACACGAGTCAGAAGCATCTGGAATGGCAATGTTGTGACGTCATATTAGTAAGCTGTATATATCTGTATTATATATCCTTAGTCATACTTCGTCAATAAAGATAAATTCATGAAATAATGATGTCTCTGTTTAGCCTCCATAAATACCAGAATTAAAAAGCGCAGATCATAATTTCACAAAGTACACAAAATTTGGAGGTCGTATTTTAAAACGGCTATCACAAAATAAATCATTCGCCATAAAACAAAAAATAGTCTGACTTTATTTACAATATGCTTCACATGTCTTACTAATTAAAATTAATTCAATGTTCCACTAATTACTAATGTTTCTGTCCAGATCAAAATGTTTCTTTCGACACAAGGTATATTAAATGAAGAATATTTACACAATAATGTATTATACAGGGTTATATCGAAAATATAATTATTAATAAACATAAGTATGATATTTTAAACAGACATTAAACTGTCATATGGCATGCAATATAATTTTGCTATCTGCCTCAAGTTATCAACGAATAATCCGTTGTGGATATGAACTTGTCATACAGTTTAAAACAGAACATAAAACCATAAAACAACCATCACTGACGTCGTAGGACGAACGTTTTCGTGTTTTCAAGATGAGACTACAATGTAGCTCTATATAAATTAGCGCTTGCAAAACTCGTACATCTCAGTCATGCAACACAAATGTTGTAACGATTTTGGTGTTTTCATCTTTTTTTCAAGGAAAAGCAATTGCTTCAGCAACAGATTTAACACTTTCATGCGAAGCAAATATGACGCTCAGTAAAAATTGTTCGGTTTTTTTACCTCATCCTGGTAAGCGGGCTGGCGTGTTCATATGGAACATTTTTTCATCCCGCCTATCTATGGTCTCTGCTTCTCGTATGCCGCCATGTAAATTTTTATAATAAAATTACCGGAGGGGAGATGATAGCAGGCGAGACGTCTCGCGGGGTCATGTAAATATGTCTTCAAAGTTATCAAGGTGTTTTGTAGTTACATTGACTTGTCAATCAATGTTATTTATTTCCTTTTCTGTGCGTGTTTAGTATCTACAGACTTTCTACATGTTTATCCGCACGGGGCAAAGTGTTATTCATGCAAGAGGCGAATAAATAGTTTATAGAAAACTTTTCAGTTGCCAGGTTTCACTACAGCTGTTGCCCAAACCCTTTTTTCTTTCATTCCTGGCAGTTCTTTCCACTGATCATCTCCCATTGTGAAACTTTCTACTGAATTGAGATGTCCCTCCTCCTTATTCCCTCCTCCCAATACAACAATGACGTCATGCATGATGACGGCTGAGGCACCGAACCTCTTGTGTTTCAGTGAAGGTAATCTTTCACTTCGCCCTGACTCAATGTGATACATGATGACGTCATTTAAAGCCTGATCATTCTTATCCAGCCCGCCGACAACAATGATCATATTGCCCCAAGTAACTGTGGACATTCCTGAGACAGGCTTTGATAACGATGGACATGGCTTAATCTCGTTCTTGATGAAATCATACACAACAACACTATCTGTGGTATCATTACTCTTGTTTGTTGTCGATCCTCCCAAGATAAATAGCTTCCCGTTAACAATCTCCGCTCTGTGGTCTCGTCTTGGCTGAGGCATTCTTGCGAGAAGCTTGACAGTATAAGGCGGGGCAAGGGATAGTTCATAAATTGCATCGGATGTTTTCTTTTCATTCCAGTTAAATCCTCCTATGATATATAATTTCTCTTGGTAAACTGTGACGTCATGGGCAGATAATTTGACAGGCAGTTTACCATCAAACATCGTCCATCGCAAAGCATGCTGGTTCATCTTTAAAACCTCGATCAAGTCAGTACCAGCTTGACCATCGTGGCCTCCAGTCACGATGACGTCACTATTGTAAACACATGATGCTAATTCTGCTCGAGCGAGATTCATTCGCGGTAGTTGAGTTGACTTGCCTTCTACTATGTTGAATTTTTCAGCAGTATTTAAAACACCATCCTTTTTATCACTACACCGACCGCCAAGAATAATAATATCTTGGTTGTTGTCTGGAAATGCTGGATCTACAGCTTGAGCGCCATTGTTGCTTACATTGCTTCCTTGCAACAACTGATTCAACATTTCTGCCATTCTTTGAAACTGCTGGCTTACCTCAGCTTTAAACATCACTTGATCTGCTTTCATTTCTGCTTGAGTTCGCTTTATCTCGTCAACATTCTCCTGGATTGTAAAATTAAAAATTTATGTGACTATGTTGTTACATTAAAATATATCAGCGATGACACAGTGTACATTTTGAGAAGCTGTGCGCCATAAGTAGTTTATTTACTTGGCAAAGTGTTCAATATGTTGGCCTGATTCCTCAGAAGTTTGCGTTAAACAATATTTGGAGTAATAAACACTCGTGCTTAGGAAAAATAGTTCTGCAAATTAAAACTTAATACACAGAAGTAAACAAAATCTTGTCTTACCTTCACTTGATTTACTTTAACATTGATTTCATCTTGCTTTCTTTCCATTTCTGTGTTCTGAACTTTTGTTGTGCTCAATTCCACCTTCATCTCATCGACATGTTCCTGAATTGTAAAATATAAACTTCACTGACAAGGCTGCGGATAATCTCAGAGATGCCACTATACATTTTCACAAACTTTTCAAAATTGATTGCTTTGCAAACACGCAAAGAACAAAAACTTGTCTAACCTTAATTTCATCTTGTTTTCTTTCCATTCCAATTTGACTAGCTATCATTTCATCTTGTCTTACTTTCATCTCGTCAACATTTTCCTGAATTATAGTTGTTATTATTAATCATTTAAAAAGAGGATAGCATCTTCACCAAACATGTTTGGTAAGATATCATTGGTGGTTCTGGACACACTAAAATTAATACAATATGATTACCTATTCTGGTTAGTTACTTATTCAATTATATAAAGAAATCAAAACTATTGATTATACGGCATTCAAACACTAATTAACAATTCATAAGCTTATTGGCAAATCATGTCAACCATAATATGTCACGTGCAGTGGCTTTAAACCTGATAAAACACTCCTAATTAGTATTCTTTATATAAAGAATACTAATAAGGCAGTATCTATTGTAGTCGTGTCCTCATTAGTATTCTTTATATAAAGAATACTAATAGGCAGTATATCTATTGAATTTGTACATGGGCGTACCGGAAGGAAAAAATTAGGGGGGCGGAAACAAATTTGCCCGACTTTTCCGGATTGTGCCCGACTAGTACCTAAAAAATTTTTCCCGGAAAAATTATTTCGGCGAGCCGCCCCCCCGTCGCCAAAAAAATTTCGGTCTGTGTACCATTTTAGGGGTCAAAAATTTTTTCCGGACATACCAAAATTTTTCGGAAAATTTTCCAAACATCACAAAATTGACCACAAAATTGACTGAATTTTCGACTAAATTGACTGAATTTGTCCCATTTATTTTTATTACAAACCAAAATTGCCCGACTGTTGATCGAATATTGCCCGACTGCCCAAAAAACTGGGGGGCTACCGCCCCCCCCCGCCCGGTACGCCTATGAATTTGTAGTCGTGTTTGAAGCCGTTTAATAAACTCGCAGGTCGTGTTTTATTATGTCTAAAGCCACTCGCGCTGCGCGCTCGTGTCTTTAAACATAATAAAACACTCCTGCTCGTTTATTAAACAGTACTTACATAATTACACCGAGTGATATATTTTAAGGTGGTCAACCTCATCATTCATCTCTAAGAAAATGGTGGTAATTGTAATGCATGGTTAATTTTTAATTATTTTAAGGTGATTTGGTAATGAGTTAAAAAGTACTGGTCCACTATATACGTTATTTTTCATTTAGTCTTCTCAGTTCTAACTCTTGGAAGATGTATGCCAGTTGTAGTTGCTATTCTCTAAATATTTGACACTTCATTTATCTTTGCAAACATATCACATATTGAGCAGTGCCATATTTTTTAGTGCTCGAAAAATAGAGTTTTTTACGGTAGTAGAGTTTTTTCCAGTATGAATATGCAGCTACTCTCATAGTTGCAACAGTTGTACTGATTGTGTTTTACCAGTTATCCCTGGTATTATTCATGCTGCTCTCTTTTGAAGTTTTAATACATCTTATTTAATGTTAGTGATAGGATATTCTCAGCTGTATACAAATTGATGAACTATGTTCTACGATACAATATGTTGCCATGCAAACCTAAACGTGGTCAAAATGTTTTTACCTTTATTGCATTATGACTTGCTTTCATTTCGTCTTGACTTGCTTTAATATCTCTGCAGTCGTGGCACTTGGGAATTCTACACTGGCAGAGTTCTCTCTCATGGATTTCTTTATCCCTTTTATTGACCACCGTCCCACATCCTTCATTTCCACACATAACAGGCGCAAAGCCACATCGCTCAACATGATGCTGTAAATTTCCAAGCTGGACGTAGCCCGGACAGCCTCGCTCATTGTAATCACACTTGATTTTCAGCCCTGATAAGGTATTCTTCAAAAATCTCGGTGGATCTTTGAGGGTTTCTGGGGTCAGGTGCTCTCTGCATTCAGGACATATGTGGGAATTACGAAGATGTTGAGATATACAAGAAAGACAAAATGGATGTTCTTTATTCTGGCAAGTTCGTGGATTTCTGAGCACCCCTTGACAAATAGAGCAAATTAAATCTTCTCTGACTCGACCTTCAAAACGTCTGTCATCATAACCTTGCTGATAGCTGTGTGCCATTGTTGAACGCTGAGCTAAAAAACGAAACAACTGTTGTTAAATTATGGATGTGGCCAACTTTGATTCCTGCACTATATAGACACATTTCTGATTGTTTCATTTTACATCAAGCCCAATCCAATAATGTTAAATCCAGATAAGCCAATCACATAGAATAGTGTTCATACTCGCGAACTCTATGCGCAATATTTTATTGTGGCTAAAGTACTTAATATACAATTACTTTATGGTTTCCGTGTTTGGATGGCCTGATCCAAACACGCGGGAATGTTGCGAGAGTTAAGAAAAGCGAGCGAAATCACGAGCCGAAGGCGAGTGATTTTGCTCGCTTTTCTTAACTCGAGCAACATTCCCAAGTGTTTGGATCAGGCCATCCAAATACGGAAACCATAAAGTAATTGTTTTATAAAATAACAACAACACGATAGTCTCCGTGTTTGGATGGCCTGATCCAAACACGGGTTTCGACCAATCAGAACAGGCGTTATATACATGTTATTTTATAAAGGGTATTGGCAACAAAAAATTTTATTGCTTCATCTGAAAAGCATGGAAAAATAAGCCGATTGGCCGTTTAATGCTCTATTCTATCTCATCTAGTTCCGAAGTTATACGCAAAAATGTGCAAAATATAAGTTGCTGATTCAGCACAACGTGTGACGTCATTGGTTGGGTAAGTATGTTTAATCATAGTTAATATTAACTATGGTTTAATGAATACTAATCTGAAGCATAGCTCAGTTATTATGGACCCAAATCAAATGAAATTTTGCATACTGATTACACATGATGAGACGCATTGAAAAACACTTCCAAGTTTGTTGCCAAGGTAACAATGTCGTTCCCAGACCCCTTGTGCCAATTTTATAAAACAGCTTTATTCATGGTACTTATAAGAATAAAGTAATATCAGAAGTATGTGTACCATACCTATGCATGCCAAAAGTTTACTTGCATGATAATAATTCGAAAATGACATACACATAGATAAATGCAACTAGTTATTCAAATCAGTGTAAGGGGCCAGGGAACGACTGTGTTGCCTTGACAGTTAAATTAGAAGTATTTTTCCCATGCGTCTCATCATGTACTATCTGTATGCAAAATTTCATTTGATTTGAGCCAATAATAACTGAGCTATGCTTCAGTTTACTATTCAATAAACATACTTACCCAACCAATGACGTCACACGTTGTGCTGAATCAGCAATTTATATTTTGCACATTTTTGCGTATAACTTCGGAACCAGATGAGATAGAATAGAGCAGTAAACGGCCAATCGGCTTATTGTTTCATGCTCTTTCACATAAAGCAATAAAACATTTTATTGCCAATGTCCTTTAAAGCTTTTCTTTTCTTTACGGAAATATATATGATTAATTTCCCGTAATTTAAAGAATGTTTGGAATTGATCGTTTCACTGACTTCTGGTGTTATTGTCAGAACCTACACTGGCAGATACCTTTCAAATTATCTTTCAAACTACTTATTGTACTGTTTTATTGCAATAATGCTGCAAAATTTTAATTTATTGAGCAATAGAGCCCACATTTCAAACAATAAATATGATAATAATTAATAGCAATAAATATGATAATAATTTATGTATTTTTGTGAACACAGTACATACAGACACTCGTACGGTTATACGATTGTTTTGATTTTCATCTTAATTTAAGATAATTTTACTATTTGCGCAGATGAAAATCCGGATACTGATGAAAAGCTGCCTTCTGTTGAAATGATCTCGCTGTTCTGCCTACTGAGGCGCGTCAAGTATGCTGAGCTATTAACAGTTGAGATCTTGCTCTTTATAAACACACAAAAGTTGAAAATATCCTGTAGATCAATCGCCCAAAATATGGTTTGAGCTTTCAACCTTCAACCATACAGCCTCCCCTGTCAAGCTATCAAGTCTACATTGCAGAGATTGCTGGTGAATTCTTGTGTTCTGTCTGTCTCACTATCGTGTCCACAGGGTTTGGTGGTATACCGCGGTATAAATACGCAAGATTGGAATTCTCGAACATTGAGAATATAGTCGACTGCTCTACCTATGAAGCCTGGTCCTCACTACCACGCAAGCATAAACACAACAGATGCACTGTCCTCACTAGCACGCAACATAAACATTGCGCTTATGCTTGCGTTGTGGCATCGATTATTAATAGTCCATTAATAATCCATGGTTGTAGACAAGGCTTGAGCTATCAAGTCCCTCGCTCTACCTGTTGACTGTTGAGCTGATATTGTGAGCGATTTAAAAGCGAAATTGGACTTACCAATGTCGAGGGATGTTAACAGATTATTACATTTTGAAGATTCTGCAACAAGTTGATGTAGACGGCGTCAACTGTATTTGTGTTTGAGACAACACCTTAATTTGTATTGTGTTCGAAACATCTCGTGATTTGAATAACCTCTCAACATCCTTATGAGAGATCGCCCACGCTGAGGCATTTGTTGTTCATTTGCATTTGTTTGGAATTCTAAGTATCATTTGGTTTCATGTCTCTCATGTCATGTAATTAAATTAACAAGAGAACTGGCTGAACTGTTTCTGAAGATTGAGGAGCTTAACTTTGTTCATTTATTGCAGATCTTCATGCAATAAAAGATAGGTAAGAAAATTCAGAAATTGAGCAGACTATATCCAGATCAATGAGCAACAGAATATCTGTCAGCGGTAAAAAGAGGCGAAGAACAGGCGCAAGGTCTTCTGGGAAAGGCAAGAAAATAAGCAAGATAGTGATGGATAAGACAGGTGATGATAGAGAACGGAGGGATAGATTACCTCAGAGAGTCTGGGGTGGAACTTCATATAAAGTTGAGGTATGTTGAGATAATTGCTTGAGATATACAAACGTTTTTTACTTATGGTGTGTTTGAATGTCAAGGACAGTAAGTGTCAACTTCAGACATGATTGCATGTCTCAATTATGTTATTTGCCATCAAGTAAATGAGTATCATACAAGATTATTTTCTGATAACTGCAGGTGGACCAGCATCTGCTGCACGATATGTTTAGTGTGAAACCTACCAGTACATAAATGCATGCAGTTCACATTTAAAATCGTGAAAAATGTTCCGTTAATAATAAATCAATTTTTTCAATAGGAAGTGGGAGGCATTGACTTCAATCCAGAGCTATCAAGACGAGTCAGTCACGCTGGAAGTCTGGGGAGAGTTTCTCCTAACCCAAATACCCGGCTCCGCTCTAGAAATGGCAGTAAATCTTCCACTAGTGACGCCATCTCAACTAGTAACGTCGTCCCAAGTGATGACGTCACATCAACATCTGACGTCATCAATAATGAGGTCATATCTAATAGTAACGTCATTTCAGCGAATGACGTCATCTCAGGACAACCACGCGAGTTAGAAGCATCTGAAATGGCAATGTTGTGACGTAATATTAGTAAGCTGTATGTATCTGTATTATATATCCTTAGTCATACTTCATCAATAAAGATAAATTCATGAAATAATGATGTCTCTGTTTAGCCGCCATAAATACCAGAATTAAAAAGCATAGGTCATAATTTCACAAAGTACACAAAATTTGGAGGTCGTATTTTAAAACGGGTATCACAAAACAAATCGTTCGCCATGAAGACAAAAATTAGTCTCACTTTATTTACAATATGGTTTACATGTCATACTAATTCAAATTAATTCAATGTTCCACTAATTACTAATGTTTCTGTCCAGATCAAAATGTTTCTTTCGACACAAGGTATATTAAATGAAGAATATTTACACAATTATTTATTATACAGGGTTATATTGGATTATATTTATAAGTAATAGCATGGCTTGAGGGAGATTAGTGATTAAATGGCCCCGTAACCCGAGGCAGGTTTGCGGAATTCCCGAGGGCGAAGCCCGAGGGA